GTACAGATGTGGACGGATGACATAAAGGTGCACTATGTGATTATGAGGTTGTTAGCTGTGTATGTAACAGATGTGGACAGATGACGTTAAAGTGCATGGTGTGATTATAATGCAGATGTTAGCTGTGTATGTACAGATGTGGACGGATGATGTAAAGGTGCACCGTGTGATTATAATGCAGTTGTTAGCTGTGTATGTACAGATGTGAACAGATGACGTTAAAGTACATGGTGTGATTAATGCAGATGTTAGCTATATGTGTACAGATGTGGATGGATGATGTAAAAGTGCACAGTATGATTGTAATGCAGCAGGTGTTAGCTGTGTATGTACAGATGTGGACAGATGATATAAAGGTACATGATATGATTATTATAATGGGATTGCTTTTATCTATAGTATAAGCGTTTAGTTTATATTGGTCATTTCCTCCCCCTCCTCATCTTCTCTCCCTCGCCCCTAAAAATCCTTCTTTCAGATGGTTACGGCTCTGCATTCAATCGAAATGGGAGGAAGCCATTCCTTTGGCTCTAAAAATGGCAACTGAACAAGGAAGGATGAAGTTTACACGACCTTTATTCAAGTAAGGCCGACTCAGACTGTGCCTCCTAGTTATGCGAGGGATGGGAAGCAGAATGGGAAGATGTTTCTTGTTAAATACTTGCATAAAGGGCTGTGCCTGTGGCTCCATGGCGGCGCCCTAAGCATCCCTGAGGCTCCATGGCGGCGCCCTAAGCATCCCTGAGGCTCCATGGCGGCGCCCTAAGCATCCCTGAGGCTCCATGGTGGAGCCCTTAGCATGCCTGAGACCCGAGGTTCAATACCTGGTCCTGCCTGATGGGAGAAATAACATTGTAAAATGCCATCTATAGCACACTTTTAAGTGTTATTTCAAGTTTGTTATCATAAATAAGAAATTGGTACTTGGGACCATTTACATTTTAGAAAAATGTCATTAGCAGTTTCAGGAACACGATGTGTGATTAGCTACTATAGGGCTAGGCAAGTTGAAAAGGAAATAAACTCAAGACAGTCTTAGATACACAGAAAGATTTTTGAAAGAAAATTTGGCGCGCGGGGCCAAGGAAGAGCCTAAAATTAAATGCAAAGGAATTTGCACAAAGAGCAAGCTCTTTCTGAGTCAAGTGTCACTTGATGTGTATAGCAGAGGAAGACTTGGGGGAGGGGAGGGATGGAATGTATTTTAGCAGCAAGATGTGATTTAAGAATATCTCCGCTAAGTTCCCTGATTAGGTATTTGCTCCATATTACTAAAATATTATAATCAATGGCATAAAATCTCATGATAATTTTGCATTCACTTCCTAAGTATAAAATTTTGTCCATGCAAACCATTACCTGGCTTTTGAAATATGACCACAGCACTACTTCTTAAGGTATTTTGAAGCAGGCTTCACTTGCTTTCCATATAAAACCCATCTACCTTTGAATCGAGTGACTTATACTTCAAATAAAGAATATACCCTTTGGGGCTGGCAAGACGGCTCAGCAGGCAATGTACCTGCTGCCAAACCTGAGATCAGTCCCTGGGAGTCGGATGGTGGAAGAGGAGCAGCTCCCACGGGTTGTCCTCTGACCTCCACACCTGTGCTCACACACACACACACACACACACACACACACACACACACCATAAAGAAATAAATGAATGTGAAAAAGGGGAAAATAAATAATCTGTCTGTAGCCTGAAACTCCCGGCCATAATGGTTAATCCTACGTTCCTTGTGTTCACTGCGGACTATTTGCCACCACTGCTTAACTGTGGCTGGCTTTTTACACTCGCGCTGTGTGAAGTTTTCAGAAATTCTTTTTATAGTTTAGAACGTTTAGACTCTTAAGTGATTGATAAACATAAGTTTGAAAAGCATTTCTTTTTAAAAGACAAAGTATTGAAGTCCATGTTCTCATATGAGGCCAGTTATACCTCCACACTTCCTTGGCAGCAGCTACTACCCCTCCGCTCTGGCTCCTCCCTGTAACCCACCTCCAAACCACTCTGGCTCCTCCGTGTAACCCCCTCCAAATATCTGTGGCCTGCCCTTTTATGGACCAGTATCTGATACAGAGTTTGTACAGAGCCATCTGGTTTTACTCAGGTGCTATCTATACTTAGCTGCCGTGCTCTGATCTTTAATTTAACCTCGGTTTGGACATGACTTTTCTGTTCCTTTGTCTCTCTTTTTCTTTGCTCTGCAGGGATCTTGCTGCCTTTGACAAATCTCACGATCAAGCTGTCCGCGCCTACCAAGAGCATAAAGCCAGCATGCACCCCGTGACTGCCATGCTGGTGGGGAAAGATTTGAAAGTGGATTAAGGACCTGATTGTTGCTGATTTAAGAAATTTCCCCCTCCTTTTTTTCTTTTTTTTTTTAAATCGAACCTATGAAGAAATAAAAATTTTAACTCTCATTGTAATTTAAAATGTCTTCTTTTTTTTTTTTTTTTTTTTTGTTTTTCGAGACAGGGTTTCTCTGTGGCTTTGGAGCCTGTCCTGGAACTAGCTCTTGTAGACCAGGCTGGTCTCAAACTCACAGAGATCCGCCTGTCTCTGCCTCCCGAGAGCTGGGATTAAAGGCGTGGGCCACCACCGCCCGGCTTCATTTGTTTTTTTATTTTCTCATAATTTCACTAAAATTTTCTAACTTTTAAAAGCAATGTAGTATATTATTTGTAAACTTTACCCCCTAAAAATATGAAGATTAAGAACACCCCAAAGATGGGGCAGCCATCAGAAAGCTACAATCCTGGAATCCTAAGACTTTGCTCTCCTTCCACCTAACAGTTGTGTTCCCTTGGCTTTACCTGTGCCCCAGGGTCTCCCTGTTTCCCAGCTCTCCGCTCTCACTTGTATTTCCTCCCTGGAACGGGCAGGGGGCGCCAAAGACACATCTCCCTCTGTAGGTTTACCTAGGGCCAAGGAAGAGTTCACACTGACTCAAGTTATGTCCTGAGTTGTCTCCGTGACAGATCAAACACACACCATCACCAGAGGAGGTAAAAGAGAGGACTTTCTACATGATGCAGAAAACAAACAAACAGAAACCTGGTTGTGCTGATGTAGGCTGGAAAAGAATTCCGCCCACCTAGCCTTAGGTGGTTTAAGAAAAGTCTCAACAGAAACAAAAGAGTAGTTGCCAAGGAAACTGGAGGGTATGGGGAGAAAGAACCAAGTCCATGAATGTGCTTGCGTGTGAACAGACCTCGTTTCATCTGCAGCGCCTGGCACGGAGCTTGGCACCTACCAAGTGTTCAGAAAGGCCTTGGTGGACAAATGAAGATGGCAGAATGAAGGTGGTTCACATCTGAGGGTCGTGGTTTTCCCAGAAATGTAAAAGATGGAGCCATGTCTGGGAATTAAATGCAAACTGAGGAGAAGGGAGGATGTGGGGAATTCCCTTGGGGGAGGCATGAGTCCAAGGGTGGGGCCATTCATCCAACACCTTCATGACCACAGGACTTGCTGCAACAGTCTGCTGGGGTAAGCAGATGACGGGCCAGCATAAGGACTTGGGGCATGGGTTTCATCCCCGATACAGGCCTAGATTCGGGCTTACCAAGGACCTTGAAGCTGCTGAGCTTAACTGTATGAGCAATAGGGTAGCTTTGCAAGCAGTGGGGTTCTGGGGGAGAAGAAAGGATTAACCTGAAGTCAGGCTTATGGGCAGAGATGAAGTAAGGAAGACGGAAGGCCGTGTCCTGAAGGTGGGATCCTGGAACTAAAGATAACGTGTCCGTCAAACAGCCACGTTGCCAAACTGCAGGCACAGTCGGAGCGTGGCTGTCACGAACATACTTTAATTAGATGCTTGGTGCAGATATGGATGTTGGCAGAAGTAACTCTATCTCTGTTCTGGAGTAGAAAGAGGCCGGGATTTCTGTTGGAACAATCCGATTTCTCTGAACTGACTCACTACTGAAGTACACACATTCCTTTGAGTCCCTTTCCACACGACCTGGGCTCCTTAACCCTGGTGGGGAAGAGTTTGGTGGGGACAGGGGTGACAATTATCTGCAGTGAAGAAGCTTAGCTAAATTGGGGAGAGCTAGGTGCCAAGACAAGGAATAGTCTCAAAGCCATCAAGGTCATGCGGAGCCACCAAGGTTAAAGTTCAGAGTGAGAGCAATCCCAAACATTTCCTTAGTGGCCCCATCCAGCAGGCGCTGGCCCCAGGGTTGGCACATGAGAAATCACTTTGTCTTTTCCAGCTGCCCGTTGGGATAGGTCCTAGCGTTATCTCCATTTCGTAGGTGAGAAAGTTGAAGCCCAGAGGAGTCAAATAAACCACAGAGCCAGGATTTATAGCCAGGATTTATTCTGGATAGATGCTTCAAAGCATGACAATAAACAGTTTGCTTCTGGATGAGAAAACAAGCTGACAATTCACTCCCCCAGGTCAGGAAGCTGGTCATACATCTAGACACAACCTTTAGCTGTGGAAGTGATCTCTGGAGTTCTCGGCCTTCCCTTGTGAAGCGACAGCTTCTGAAGCACAAATGGGTGTCGGGGAGGCGTTGCTCAACTCGTGTTTGTGGAGTGAATAAATAATTGAATGAGGATTGCCACACCGCTGGGTGTCACAATTGACCGAGGGGATGCGTTTTACCAATTGAGTAATTCCCCGAAGAGGGGAACATGGTGTTTATGGCCAGCTCTCAAGGCAGACCTCAGAAAGGGAGAGAGAACTTGGAGATCCTGGTCAGGTGGGATACCAGCAGAGCTCAGAGCTCCAGGGTAAGAGACCCCTGGTCTTTCTCTGCACGGTTGCATTGAAGGTGGGCTCACCTACCCATACCCTCTCTCTCCAGCCCCTAGTTCAGCTTTCAAAAGGGCCAAAAGAACACCAGAGACAGGAATCAATATTTGTTCAAAGTGTGAATGAGTAAAGACAAGGGAAGGGGTGTGTTTTTGACAGTTCATTCTCAGTCTCTCCCTGCCAACCACACCCCAGCAGGCAACTCCCCTCCCGGGTAAAGGATAAAAGGCTCTGCAGTCTGGGACAGTAGGGAAGGAGCCAGCGGCCTGTTGCTCAGAAGGGCTGTTCCAGTGTCAGCCGAGCCATGCCTAGGTACACGGTGCACGTGCGTGGGGAATGGCTGGCGGTACCCTGCAAGGACGGGAAGCTCTCTGTAGGCTGGCTGGGCCGCGAGGCTGTGAGGCGCTACATGAAGAACAAACCGGACAATGGCGGCTTCGCCTCGGTGGATGAAGTGCGCTTCCTCGTGCGCCGGTGCAAGGGCCTGGGCCTGCTGGACAATGAGGACCTGCTGGAGGTGGCCTTGGAGGACAATGAGTTCGTAGAAGTGGGTAAGTGGCCCGCAGGGGAACGGGTTGAGCTGCCGGAAGTCACCCTCATCACAGGGGAAATGATGGGGAAAATAGGCTTGCGCACTTGGCCTGGGGGAGCCTTAAGCTAAGCTTCGCATTCGCCCTGTCTTCAGCCTGCAGCAGATGTAGAGAGGCAGATCTTAAGTGACAAGAGACTGCACTTGAACCAATGCTGCAAATCTGAATCCCCTTGCAATCAGTTTCCTTCTTCCATTAGATAAATCTCCTCGGGCCTGAGGCTGGCAGCACAGGGGTGCCGAGATTACAGATTTAGAAGTGACCACCGGAGCAGGCGTGGAAGCCAGCCAGAACTGATCTTCCACCTACCGCCCCTCGCCTGCCTGTCTGTGTTATTGCTTTCCCCGCATAGAGACGCTAAGGCCACGGGAAACTGTAGGAAGTCACGTGGCAGCAGCCATGTTTGTGCAATGCAAGCTCAGTGCATGGAGGGGCCATTCCTGGGTCTGGCAGCAGTCCAAATGGTCTGCAAGGCCCCTATCTCCCCTCCCCCCTTTCTCGTTTCAGTCATTGAAGGCGATGTAATGTCTCCCGACTTCATTCCCTCGCAGCCGGAAGGAGTTTTCCTGTATCCTTTCTGCATCGTCTTTAGTCGGCACTGGGGGCTGGGCCTGCCATGGTGGGACTGGGGCTTTCCCACTCTGGCCAGTATACTCCTTTACCTGGCTTCAGATACAGCAAATACCGGGAGCCCGAAAAGGTAAGCTGGGAGCTACAGTTTCTTTCTGTGGGGAAAATGAAGTCTGGTGACACAATACCCCTCTCCTTTTACAGAGGAGAGGGTTCGTACCTGAGTGAATGCCACACGTAAGGACAGGTTCATCCAGCTCCGAGTTGCTCCTACAGGGAGCCTGGCCTCCGACTTTTCTTACCCAGTCTCTTTATGAGCCGGGCATGTTTTTAATTACCACGGCAATGCCTCATGGTAGATATCATAAGATTATCTTCGGCATCAGACTGTGTCCAGGGCCACCCCTTAGAAGCTGCCCCCGGCTCACTGAGATTTCACTCCTTCTGTGCAGTACATTGCCTTGGATGGGGACAGTCTGAGCACAGAGGATCTGGTCAACCTGGGGAAGGGGCGTTACAAGATAAAGGTACGCGGGAAAGGTGGGGAAGGGAAAGGAGGCCAGCTCCCTGCCGTTTCCACCGGCCACGGAAGACTTTCACAGGCTCGCTCTGGCCAATGCTTTCCCTAGCTCACTTCAACTGCCGAGAAGAAGGTGCAGCAGTCCAGGGAAGTCATCGACAGCATCATAAAAGAAAAGACAGGTACCGTTTCCTCTGGGTGCCCTGGCGTCGTTTTTATGGACAAACGTAAGAACAAAACTTCCATCGAATCTAATCACGAGGGTGTCTGCTTACTTTTTTATTCCAGTTGTGTACGGCATCACCACAGGTTTTGGGAAGTTTGCCAGAACTGTAATCCCCGTCCATAAGCTACAGTAAGTCTCAGCTGCACGTCCTCGCCACCCTCCTGCCCCGACTGCGATTTCGCCTCCACCAAGATGGTTCACATTGGCTACATTGACATTCATTGAGCAGTGACATTCAGTGAGACCAGTGGTTCTCAACCTTCCTAAGGCTGCGACTCTTTAATACAGTTCTTCACGTTGTGATGACTGCAACCATAAATTTATTTCATTGCTACTTCATGACTGTAATTTTGCTACCGTTATGAATCGTAACATAAATATCTGATATGCAGCTATAAATATCTGGTATGTGACCCCTACAGCAGTAGCCACCGATACATTGAGAACCATTGCTTTAGACCAAGCCTTGGGTAACAAGTGCGCACACAACCCTGTGAGACAGCCACTCTTCTCGTGTATCTTGGTGGACAGTGTGAGGCTTGAGCTGACTTGCACCCAGCTTGTCACGAGCGAACCAGATCTACCGTCCCCTGCCCATCTGAAGCCGTAACTCTTGTTCCCTTCATATTCCCAGCCGAGGGAACGTGTTCACCCAAGCAAAGAGGGTTCTCACCTTTCTCTTCCAGGGAGCTTCAGGTCAACTTGGTTCGTTCCCATTCTTCAGGTAAATTGTTCCTAGTATTGGGTGCCTCCTAAATCACCTTAGATCACCTGATTGACCAGCATAGTGCTACCAGCTACATCAGCTCATGTGTTCCGAATGCACGCCAGGGGCCAGGTGCTAGGGACCCAGGAGTGTGAGCAGATGACGTTAGACCAGACCAACCTTGTGCTACAGCTCAGAAGACAAAATGGGCCAGGTGGAGGGATGATAGGAGCTTAAGATAGGAGCATGTATGCAATCCTTTGAAGAGAGTGTTGTGCTTTGGGGAAAGAACCAAGGCTAGTATTGGGGGCGTGAGCTAGGTAGGTTAAGCTCTGGGCCCCTCATTCTGAAGGGGGCTGTGTCAAGGCCTCTCTGCAGTATTCTGAAGGTGTGTAGGCAGGTGTAGGCAGGTGAGGTTCACTGAAGGGCTCTAGCAAGGAATCGAGAAGGAGAACTGGGTCTCTAGCTTAGTCTGGATGAGGTTTGAGGAGCCAGACAGGCAACAGGGAGGGCCATCCATCCAGCTTCAGAAAGCCAAGAGAAGACTGGCAAAAGTAGGGAAAGACCCAAGAGGTGAGGGTGGGCAGGAGGTGAGGGATTTGGTTTTGAGGGTTTTTTTTCTTGAAGAAAACGACAGTTCTGCTTTGTAGGTGTTGGGAAGCCACTCAGCCCTGAAAGGTGTCGGATGCTCTTGGCTTTGAGGATTAACGTTTTAGCTAAAGGATACAGCGGGATTTCCTTGGAGACCCTGAAACAAGTTATTGAAGTGTTTAATGGTAAGGCACTGACTCCTTCGTTGGGCCTTCCAGAGAAGTTGGCCACACCCCAAAAAGTATATTGGGATGACTAGATGCCAAGGCTAAAGAGAAAAGAATCGAGATGAGTGTAAAACGGGTTTGGCAAGAAGGAGAACCAGTTGTCAAGTAGCAAGAATGGCAGCTCTAGCTGTTCCCACAAATGTCAACCTATCTTGTGGTATCGTATGAGATAAACGTGAGCCCTACCAGTATGCCAGTAAGTTCAGGCCTACACAGAGCTTGCCTTCAGTGGTGCCCACCTATGATCAGAGAAATGGCAGCAAGTCATCCATAAACATGATTCCTGGATTCTGTCCATCCCAAAGGCAGAGAGGTTCCAGTTGGTACCCAGGAATCTGTACTTTTAATGCTCCACGCCCCCTCCCTCCCCCTCCGGCCCCATGATGGATAAGTGGTACTCACACATGAAAATCTAACTTTGTAAAAAGGTAGGTCAAAATGTGAAGAGGTTAATGATTGACTTGGCCCATGAAGGCCACTGTGGGATGGGACATGACGCCACGCAACTCAGTCCTTAAAGGGGAGGCCAGATTTGCAAGGCTCAGGAAGCTGCCCCTTTACACAGCTAAGGATAAAACATGAGGTCGATGGGAATCCTAGGGCTCCTTGGGGGAAAGGGATGGGAAAAGACACAAGGTCTCACAGTCACGCAGAGAAGACCAGACACCTGAGCTGCTCTGCAGAGGGCCCAGGGGACTCATAAGTGTGACACACTGACTAGCGAAGGTCACGATCTACAGGCTATAGGGCTATTTACACAGATCTGTAGTGATCACATCTACAAGCTCGGCTCCACCACAAGCCTCAAACCCCAAGACAGTAGAGCTCCGACTTTGAAGGCACCCGTGCTCCGATAGATGCATTTAAGGCACCTCTGCTTCCCTGATGCTCTGAGAATTCCCCAGGTCACCTGTAGTCTGGAAACTAGCCCATGGTTGGCACTGACGTGTCTGACTGATGTCATTTAGCAACAACTATGGAAACAGTCACCATGAAAGGGCTTTATTTTAGGAAACAGAAGCCTCCTTTTAGGGGGTAACTTTTGGGGAGACTTCTGAAAAATAGCACATGCTTATCCATGAGCGGGCATAGTGTATGGGGTGGTAAGTGAACGACCAGAGACAGAGAGAGTTTTGCCTGTAAAGTTATTGTTAAACAATTATGTTATTAGTACTTTGGTCTTTGGTGTGTACAGATGGAGACCACACTTTGTTTCCCAGCCACCGAGACCCAAATAATTAATAATAACTATATTAATTACAACACTGTTTGGCTCAGGAGTATTCCTGGCTATCTCTTATATTCTAATTTAACCATTTTTTAAAAAAAATATTTATTTATTCTGTATACAATATTCTGTCTGTGTGTATGCCTGCAGGCCAGAAGAGGGCACCAGACCCCATTACAGATGGTTGTGAGCCACCACGTGGTTGCTGGGAATTGAACTCAGTACCTTTAGGAAGAGCAGGCAATGCTCTTAACCTCTGAGCCATCTCTCCAGCCCCCTAACCAATTTCTATTAGTCTATGCATTGCCACGTGGCCGTGGCGTTGCTTCATTTTCTACATGTCTTGTTTCCTTGGAGGCTGGCTGGTGTCTGACCTGACTCTGCCTTCTTTTTGTCTGTATCTCTGCTCGAATTTCCCACCTGACTTTACTCTGCTAAGTCATTGGCCGAAACAGCTTTATTCATTAACCACTAAAAGCAACACATATATAGAAGGACATCTGACATCAAGAGGTGCGCCGTGTCCTTCTTTCTAAAGTAGACATTTTACTTTGTAAAAAGTAAACACATGTTTTAAAGCATTCTCCAACAGCTTTTATTGGCTGCATATAATCTGCTCACATGAATGTCCCTTAATACTGTATCTTAATGATTTCTAACGTTTTGCTCTTAGAAACCAGGATGGGACCATCAACAGCTAGTTTATAATTGTGTTTCTGAGATACCACTAGAACCCTAAGAGTGACGTCATGACAGCCGAGCCTCATGTCCTTCCCTCTGGAAGCCTGCCCTCCATACACACACCTTCCATCGTTCGTTCGTTCGTTCGTTCGTTCGTTCGTTCCTTCCTTCCTTCCTTCCTTCCTTCCTTCCTTCCTTCTTCTCTCCCTCCCTCCACACTCACCTTCCTCTTTCATAACAACTTAGCTGGTTCTGCTCTCTCTCTCTCTCTCTCTCTCTCTCTCTCTCTCTCTCTCTCTCTCTTTCTCTCTTGGTTTTTTGAGACAAGGTTTCTCTGTGTAGCCCTGGCCATCCTGGAACTCACTCTGTAGACCAGGCTGACCTAGAACTCACAGAGATCCAACTGCCTCTGCCTCCCAAGTACTGCCTAGTTGTGCCTCCGAAATGATCATTCTTGGATATGTATTTTCCAAATTACTCTAAACTGTTGGAAATGAGGATTGTCCTCACTGGCAAAGCAAGGATAATTACAACGGTGCAAGCCCTCTTGAGGTCACTGATGCCTGCTTCTCTTTCAGCCTCCTGCCTGTCATACGTTCCAGAGAAAGGAACTGTGGGTGCCAGTGGAGATCTTGCGCCTCTCTCTCATCTTGCTCTGGGACTCATTGGAGAAGGAAAGATGTGGTCCCCAAAGAGCGGCTGGGCTGATGCTAAATACGTAAGCCTCACGTAACAGCTTCCTCCATAGTGATTCTCCTCCGCTGGAGCCAGGAGACTGGCGTGTGTTCTCTCACACCTTCATGGCTGTCCAGTTATAGATGAATCAGACTAGAAAATATTGGCTCCCATATTCCCCTGCCAGCATCCAAGATATGCAGATCTGGGTGGGAACGTATAGTCACTTGTTTTAGTTTCAGAAATTTGCTCTGCACTCACGAGACTACTGATGCCCACTGGGGAGGTCACAGTGGGTCACAATTGTATTGGGGAGCTTACCTTACAGGTGAGAGTTATGAAAGACAGAGCCTGCTGTGTGGTCTCTAGAAAGCACAACCTGTTGTTGAGCTTGTCAGGAAGGCATGTTTTACATGAAGCTTGTGATGGTTTCTTCCTGAACAAATCTCAGCTGAGCAGCCCACCGCATTGTTTAAAGTGTCCTCTGTGAGTAGATACGAGGCACCCAAACAGTAAGTGAAAGAGACAGAGGATTGGGACTGGAGAGATGGTTCAACGGTTAAGAGCACTGACTGCTCTTCCAGAGGACCTGAGTTCAATTCCCAGCACCTACATGGCAGCTCGCAACTGTCTGTAACTCCAGTTCCAGGGCATCTGGCACCCTCACACAGATATGCAGGCAAAATACCAAAGCACATAAATTAAAGAGAGAGAGAGAGAGAGAGAGAGAGAGAGAGAGAGAAATCATGAAGGAGGAAGAAGAAACTAGATTGTCCCTTGGGCTTTGGGAGGATCCAAGTTCAAGGTCATTTTTCTCCCGTGCAACCTATCTTGGTTCTGTCTCTGTGGACAGTGTTTCCTCGGCCACCTTAATGTGGCAGCCAGCCTGACCCTTGGTCAACAGCAAATCCAAACACACCCCACCCTGGCTAAACTTCTAGCATTTTCCTCATGTTTAGGATAAAGATGTTGACTTCAAGAGTGTTGTTTTCCATGTGATCCTCATAGCCCTTCCCACCCCAGGGTCTCGATGGCAGAAATGATAGAGTTAGCTTGCAGCTGGAATGTGCTCTGGGCTAAGCAGAAGGCACAACACTTAGTTCCTTTTCGTTTCTTTTATCCTGAGAAGTCCTCTAGGAATCTACCCTCTCTGCTCCTCTGCTCCTTTCTTCCCAAGTCACCCACACATAGGTGGTTACGTCTTATTTGTTTCCCAAGCACTCAGCCCTTGTGTGGCCTGGGTGCCCTGAGCTTCTGTTTCTACTGTGTGTACCCTCAGCCCAGCTCAACACCCTGCAGTGGGAAGTGCTCAGACCCTGAGAAATGAACAGAGTTAATAAAGAGGCAGCTGTCTGTCTTTCTCCCACTTTGACTCCATCTTTCTTTCCCACACCAGGGGAATCTCATGTAGCAGCAGCTTTTACTTCTGTTACCTGAGAGAAATCGTATTCTGTCCCCTTCCTCTTGGAATTCTGGCTCTATCTAGTTGAGGGGCTTCCATAACCTCCTCTTCCTTGGTGTGGACACATTTGCTCCTAAGCTTTTCCGTGAGGTTCTGTTGGTGACAGAGCATGCAGAAACAAGGGTAAAGGACCATCTGAGGTCATGCTTTGGATGCAGAAGCATGTATATAGACAGCCAGCCTGGAGCCCAGCATTAACCGAGTAGGTATATCAGGATGAGGAGTCTCAAATATTGATACCCAACACAGGAACTTGAAAGCAAAACGTATTCTTCTCTCACCCCCCTTTGGTTTTTCAAGACAGGGTTTCTATGTGTAGCTTTGGAGCCTGCCCTGGAACTCACTCTGTAGACCAGGCTGACCTTGACCTCACAGAGACCCACTTACTTCTGCTTCCTGCGTGCTAGGATTAAAGGCGTGCGATGCCTTCGCCCAGCGCAAAACATATTCTGTAGGCAACCAAGTCCTTGCTTCAAAAGTCCACAAGTTCTTTAAAAAACTAAGCCTGCTTCCTCACTAAATAAACATAGTTGCTGGCCCCAAGAGCCTGGCATAATCTTTTATAAGACAAACTTTGGAACTGAGAGTATTTCACTGGGCTCCGTATGAAATAAAATATAAGCTGGTATTTCAACTTATGTTCATGCTTTTAATCATTCAACAGGTCCTAGAAGCCCACGGGTTGAAACCAGTTGTTCTGAAACCAAAAGAGGTAAGTCACTAAAGAAAAACTTGCTTGTGTGAGCGAATCTTTACATATGCAGTTTTCATCCTTAATGGCAGCCTCATCAGTTCCTTAAACACAGTTTATGTGTTGATTGACAGCTACAAAAGGACTCCTCTGTGAATAGTTAAAATTAGTCATGCCACAAGTCCCCGAGGGTTCTCCAAGAACATAAATTTCAAATATAGTTTTCTAATGTTTTTAATAAGAACTGCTTAGTCAAGGTCCCTTATGATGTTCTCAGCCACAATTTTGGACCAAGAATGTTTTAGGATGTCTTGAACATGATGGAACTTTGGACCAGGATAGTCTTAGGATGTCTTGTCTGTGATGGAACTTTGGACCAGGATAGTCTCAAGGTCTAAGTCTTCTTGTCTATGATGGAACTTTGGATCAGGGTAGTCTTTGGATGTCTTGAACATGATGGAAATTTGGACCCAGACAGTCTCAGGATGTCTTGCTTATGGCGGTGAGAAGCTATTAAAGAATAGAACACAGAGGGCTGAAGATGCTCCACACATTCCAGAGTGCAGGGCCACACGGTGCCTTGACAAGGGAAGTCAACAGGTACCCTTTGGCCCTATCTGTGCTAATGATTCCAGATATGACGCCGTTCAAGCTCATGAATATGCACACCTAGCCCACACGTGTGAAAACACACAGACACACCAGATATGATGCCACTCAAGCTCATGAATATTCACGCCTGGCCCACACGTGTGAAAACACACAGACACCCAGTTCAGTCAACTGGCCAGTTTCTCTCCTACAAGGACAGATCTCCTGTCTGTGGGTTCGTTACAAAGAACACAGTAAGAAACCTTTCTCCCTTTCCCACAGGGCCTGGCACTCATTAACGGGACCCAGATGATCACTTCCCTGGGCTGCGAGGCCGTGGAGCGAGCCAGCGCCATTGCCCGGCAGGCTGACATTGTGGCTGCCTTGACCCTCGAGGTGCTGAAGGGCACCACCAAAGCCTTCGATACTGGTCAGCAGGCTCTGTTTATTTACTCATTCAACCAGGGTGACTTGGTTGACAGAGGTGGAGGGGGTGAGGGGGCAGGGAAGAGTGAGAAGACGCAGGTGCTCCTAATATACCCAGGACTGCCACAGCTGCACCTGAGTTCTGTTACGTTCAGTCCTATAACAATGACATTCTGGGTTTTGTTTTATTGGAGACAAGGTTTTTCTGTAGCTTCGGTGCCTGTCCTGTTGCTAGCTCTTGTAGAACAGGCTGGCCTTGAACTCACAGAGATCCGCCTGCCTCTGCCTCCCGAGTGCTGGGATTAAGGTGCGCCACCACCGCCCAGCTAACAGCTACGTAGTGAAGACAGACACTAGGAAACCTGCTCCAGATCACGGGTGATCTGGGCATGCCAAAGTAGACATTGCTTTAGGAGTCAGTGTGTAAGACTTGAAACTCCAAAAGGGGTGTGGGGGGGGGGCGCTGCAGAGAACTCAGTAGGTAAAGATCTTGTTTTGTAAGTGCAAGGATCTAAGTTCAATCCCCAGAATGGACATTTTAAAACTTGTTGTAGTGTGTGCTTTTAATGCATTCCAGAGCTCAGGAGATGGAGACAGCAGATCCCTGGTGCTTGCTGGTCAGCCCAGCTTCCTTGATGAGTTTCAGGCTAGTGAAGGACTCTATTCCAAAATGAAAAATAAGGGAAAGGAAGGTGAACGGTGCCTAAGGAATGACACCTACGCTTGCTGTCTGGCTTCCATACATACATTCATATATTCTCGGGCACCTGTGCATGTGCGCGTGCACGTGTAGACAGACACGCGCACATGCACACACACACACGTACGCACACACGTACGCACACACAGAGATTGCAACTGCCCTGATAAGAAAATTGGGAAGGCGAAATGATATAAGTATCTGTATCTCATCTAGGAATTAATGAATATCAAAGGCTCCGTGTTAATACGTAGAGCGGAAAATGTACAAAACAGACTTGGTTAAATTAAGCCACCACACACGCTCTCTGTTGTCACCAGTCCAGGTCCTTCAAGGGTGGGCCTGGGGTCTTGTGTCACGTTCCTAAGTGTACTCCGCCAACAGCTTGTACGCCAACATCTACAACAGAGCCAATCGTGCAGATACAGGAAAATTTCCCTTTGGGTTGGAGTATTTAATTCTGTATGATGAATGAGAACTCTCGGGACTTTAGAGGGGCCTGCCAGCACCGTGGATGGTCCTGAACCCTCTGAATTGCACAGACTTTTTTTTTTTTTTTTTTTTTTTTTTTTTTTTTTTTTTTTTTTTTGCCTCCTTCAATTCTAGACATTCATGCTGTCCGCCCTCACCGCGGGCAAATTGAAGTCGCTTTCCGGTTCCGGTCCCTCTTGGACTCGGATCACCACCCATCAGAAATCGCAGGTCTGGACGAGTTTGTCTGAGTGGGCTCGTGGGTGCTGTGTGTGTTGGGGAGACTAGTAATGTGTTGCCTGTTTTCTTCCCCACAACCCTCCCCCGCCCTTCCTTGCCCAGAAAGCCACAGGTTCTGCGATCGTGTCCAAGATGCATACACCTTGCGCTGCTGTCCACAGGTAAAGTCAAGAAGCAGGAGCCCAGCAAAGGCTTGTTCCCCAAATTCGGGGGGGGGGAGTAGAAAAAGAGGAAAGATTTAGAAAATCATGTCGTGGCCAAATGTAATCCAAATCTCTCTGCTGCTTCTGTTAAAAAATATGCATTTTATGTCCATTTCTCTTGTGGTTATCAGCTTCTTTCTGGGTCAGCTGGACTTCTCATTTCTTGACCTCCTGTGTTGATACACTACGATGGCTAAGTAGCATTGGAGAGTCTCACTGGCTCTTCCTGTAGGGAAAAACTATAGTCAGTCAGTCAGGAATGTTCAAAGGAAAGCGATCACTGAATTCTGCCTTTCAGAATTCAAGTGTCCATGGGGCATGTCTCTTCTTCCTCTTACTATCACAAATGACTCTGGCACAATTTTAAGACGTGGGTGCAGCTGCTTCTGCATCATCTGACTGACGAGGAGTTACAGACGCCTCGGGAACCGAGCTGTCACTCAAGTTCTGGTCGTCAGACTAAGAGGGCGTTTGCCCTCGAGCAAATCCCTCACTGCCTATGACTCAACAAGTGCTATCTGATGAGCTTATTAAACAGTAGCTCAGAAAAAAAAAAAAAAAGTCTACGGGAGAACTGCCAAATCAGCTGAACTGTAAGACTAAGTCCTGGTTTAAGAGCCCCTGCTATTCTAAGAATGATGATTGGCTCCAAATGATGGGCTACATTATCAGTATCTTCCAAATACTAATTCACTGAATTTTCCCGACTGTGAAATTGATACTTTCTCCCAGTTTGCATCCAGGACCCGATGAACGGGGTTCAGTACCCTCCTTGCCCAAGATCATAGCATAGATCTTATCTTCTGGTCTTCTGAGAGAAGCCAGAAGTGTACCATGGCTGGCCGTCCTGGGGCAAGGTGCAGGGTGGCAGCTTTCCTTGTGAGCATCTTCAGTGTGATGCTTTATGCTTCTTGACGTCAAACCCTGGATGGCTACCGCCTGGGTGATCTCTGCGAGTCATGTCCAAGAGAGGCCTATAGTATCTTATTTACTTCTTACAAACAGAAAGTAACTGTCATTGTCTACTTCCCAAATCACTGCTTCAACCAGAAATCTACCTTGCCTACATCCTACCACCGGCATGAAAATGCAATTCTTTACGGCTAGGGCTGGCGCATTTTTCCTGTACTGCAATGTTTTGCATATTAGTCTAATATTTTTTGTATTTATTTTATATATTATATTAATGTATTTATTCTAATTTGTTTTACTGAGAACTTGTCAGTTGTCTTCATATCCTAAAGGAGCCAATTATACTTGTTATGATCTTAACTGCAAGGACTGGAGATGGCGTTTTACAAGAATATTGGCATTCTTATTGGATAATAACCATATACATTATTTGTTTATTTATTTTGCGCTTTAGGTCCACGGCGTGGTGAATGATACCATAGCGTTTGTGAAGGACATCATTACTACAGAACTGAACAGTGCTACAGACAATCCTGTATCTTTTGAATGTTCTACACGGTTGCAGCTTTCTTTAGCTGGCTGTGTTAGGGTCTGTGTCGAATTAGTCTGTCTCCAGGTAGACATTCCTGGAGCTGAACACTTGGTGGCTTCTCCTAGGTCAGAGTCGGTAAGTGGCAGAAACAGACACGCGAACGTAGGTTTTGAGTTTAGCTTTTAAAATTGACCCATAAAATACTAAGGCAGCATTTGTGGATATGTTTCACCAAGGCACTGGCTGAAAGTCACTGCTGAGGTTGTGATTAGCGCCTCCTAGGCTGGCCTTCCCTTCTGCAGCCTGGTTCTAGTGATGCAGGATGCACCGAGCAGAAAACGACATGCTAGCACATCAAAGTGTTCCCGGTGACGTAAGGCTTCCCCATCCTCAGGTTTCCTTCTGGCGTGGACTCTACTCGGGCCACAGTATACGGTATCTGTATACACGGTTAAGAAGGCTTTCATTCCTTGTGGAGGGGGCTTTTTCTCTTTGGCGGGATGTCTTTAGCCTAAAGAGTCTGTTTTTTGTTTTTTTTTTTTTCTCTTTGAAGCTGAGCTAATTAGTCAGGGTACAATCTTCCCTGAGACATCGCTGCCTTTGAAAACAGGCAAGCCTCTTAAGAACCCTTTTCTTCCCAATCAGGGAGAAGCCGCCTAGGGAGCCACCGTGAGAGCAGCTCACAGCCCTGGTGAGCAGATGGCGGGTTACCCAACAGCTGTGGCACGCTTCTCACTGAGGCTTGAGGGTGCTTTTTCCGTAAGCCTACCTTAGGATTTTGTTCTATGTTCTCCGAGGTTGCTTCATGAGTTCAAACCGGTAGTCGCTAATCCTTGGGATTACGAATCCGTCACACATTCTAGAAGGAACAGCGTTTTTTATGCATGCTGTGTGTGTGATCTTGCTCTTCAGTGGTACGGGGGGGGGGGGGGGGATTCTATACCGGCATAGTTAGACCCTTAAGGGTAACTCAAGTGTTAAAACGGAAAGGATTAGCATGAATTTGCTGGTTATGGATGACAGATTTTTATTTAATTTTTCTCCCAGCCATAATTTCAGCCAAAAGTCCCCTAGCTTCTTAATAAAAGAGTCTTGATTGTGGATGAATTTTCAGCGAGTTGAGAATACCTCTAGTCCCGATGTTCCCTGAGAGGACAGGTTTCTCTGCGCTGCCCTGCACGTAAAGAGCAGCCAGTGCAGAAAGGTGGGTGTTAGGGAAGTTGGAAGTTGCTGGAATTCTAATGACTAACAAAGTTGGGAAACAATAGAATAATACGACATGTTACCTGTGACACCTAGTACAATGTAAATAGTACATAAATAGTTGTTTTGTTGTATTATTTAGGGAACAATGACAAGAAAAGCCTGCACACACTCAGTATAGATACAACTTTTTTAAAAAAATTATTTATTTATGTAATATTTTAAACATACATTGGTCCTTGCTTGTATGTATGTATGTATGTATGTATGTATGTGTCAGGGGGTGGGATCCTCCGGAACTGGAGTGACAGACAATCTTGAGCAGGCAATATGGTTGCTGGGAATTGAGCCTGGGTCTTCTGGAAGAGCAGTCAGTGCTCCTAACTGCTGAGTCATCCTCCAGCCCCGACCCAGTTTTTCTTCTGAATATTGTCATTAGAGATTGGCTCACGCCACAGATTCAAGCCCTGATAATGACTAGGCAAATATATTGTTCATAAAGCCCAGAGGGAAAACGTAAGCTTTTGGAACCAGGATGGAGGGCCTTTTGCTAGCTTTGCCTTGTGCCTGCTGGCTTCAACAAAGTGTGCGATAGATTAGGACTATCTCTAGGGGTAATCACACTCCGAGAGTCCAGAGTTCCCTCCTGCAGAAGGGGGTCTTTAGGACCTGTTGGCTACTGAACACTAGTACAGGGTCTCCGAGGACAAGTGGGGAAACAGTCCCAGCATGGATCATTCCAGGTGTTTCCAAGGGCGCTCTATCAGCCAGATCTTCAATTCAACAGCTTCTTCTCCGGAGCCTGGGCTCGCAGCTCCACAGGAGAAATAGAATTCGGTTTTAAACCAGGGGTTCGTGTTAGTGGTTTCAGCTTTTGAGTACAATTGTTAAATTGGTGGAGTAGAAAAGTAGGAATTGATACCGCAGATCCCAAGAGAAAACGTTTCATATCCCATGGTCTCCAATTATTTGTATACAATTTACCATGTGTGTCTGTGTGTGTGTTGTGTGTCTGTGTGGAGTGGTGTGTGTATGTCTGTGTGGTGTGTGTGTGGTGTGTTTATATGGTGGGTGTGTGCTATGTGTCTGTGGTGTGGAGTGTGTGTGTTGTATGTCTGTGATGTGTGGTGTGTGTATGATGTGTGTGTCTGTGTCTTGTGTGTGTATTGTGTGTCTATATGGTGGGTGTGTGTCTGGTGGGGGTGTATGTGTTGTGTGTCTGTGATGTGTGTCTGTGTGGTGTGTGTATGTGTGTGTGTGTGTGTGGTGTTTGTGTGTGTTCCTGTCAACAATTGCTTCCAGGAAGACTTATCTTCCCTCTATCTGTACAACGACTGCCACTTCAATACCAAACATAAGCAGATGGGGGTAGGAGTCACCCTTGAAGTGAGCAACAATGTTATGTGTAAGCCTTAACCTGTTTTGAAAGATGGTCTTTGCCAGTCGAGGAGAGACGATTTCGGGAGGAAACTTCCACGGTGAATACCCAGCCAAAGTAAGTTTTCTGACTGGGCTCCTGACCCCGGAAGTACATTCCGAAGCCGGCCAGCTGAACTGAACTGTTCTCTTAGGCCCTGGACTATTTGGCCATTGGCGTCCATGAACTCGCGGCAATCAGTGAGAGAAGAATCGAAAGGCTGTGCAACCCTTCACTCAGCGAGCTGCCTGCCTTCCTGGTGGCTGAAGGAGGCCTGAACTCTGGCTTCATGATAGCCCACTGCACCGCAGCAGCCCTGGGTAAGGACAGCACCCTTTGTCAGAACACAAGCCCTGCCCCGGAGAGCCTTTCCAGATTCCCTCAAAGAATCACCCTCTGCCTTGGAATGAGCTCTGCTGCTGCTTCGCTTTCCTGTGCCTCCTACCTCGCATGCCTAGCACAGCAAACAGGCCGAATCTTCACACTGTCTTAGAAAGCATAAGACCTAAACCATGTAATGCTGCAAGATAATAATGCAACCGTGAAGTATAAGTGGAAAATGGCCCCAGAGAAAACAATCCCAACATTACATTTGAACTTTGTCTATTTAGCTTTTCCCCCAAAAAACAATCAGAGGAAAAAAAAAAGACAGAGACAGTTATAGTTGATGGCAAAAGTTGAACCAAACTGAATGCTTAAACTTTGGAGATCTTCTACTAGACACACTATCTATCCACTAAAAGGTTAAGATGGGCTCTAACATATAAAAATACTTCCAGCTGGGTGTTGGTGGCACACGCCTTTAATCCCAGCACTCCAGATGAGGCAGAGGCAGGTGGAACTCTTTGAGTCTGAGGCCAGTGTGGTCTACAAGAGCTTGTTCCAGAACAGTTAGGGCTGTTACACAGAGAAACCCTGTCCCCAAAACCACACAAATAAATAAATAAATGAACACTTCCAAGAAGCAATATGCCTCTTGGAAACTGAGCTCAGGGCAGCTGGTTTCCTATTCGAAACCACAAGGAGTAGATAACTAACCCATCAGAAGGATGCCCGCCACAAAGTTAGTACCAGTGGCCTTGCTTATTTCCCCTCCCTTAACCATAGCAACAGGACCAGGTGGGAGGAGACACTGTTATTACCGCCATTGGCCAGGCGAATAATCGGAGAGCCCAGAAGCTGAGTCACTTTTCCAATATTGCATAGTAATTGGATGCAGAGCAGAACTCAAATGCAGTCATATTTGGTACCCAACTTCGTGCACTCCCTTCCGCGAACTCCTTTTTATCAGCACCACCACCACCATCATCATCATCACTTCAGAGCTTTAGTAACAGGTACTTTCGGTTCGTCAACATAAGTTGTAGGCTTGTTACAACTGAAAAACCTTCAACGGCATATTGAGAAAAAGCAGACATTAATAAATAACAAATAAGTAAATAAGTAACAATAGCAACAGAACCTTTATTTGTCATGATCCAAAAGAGATATCTTTACGTTAAAAGTATTTATTCTAACCATGTGTCTCATAGATAATGCAGATAGTTCTTTCTTACCCGGTTGAGTGGAAGAAAACCAAGTCCTTCAGGTCGTTGGCGCCCATCTTCTTATTTCCTGTTACCAGAATGCCGTGCCTTGCTTTCCTCGTTGGAGAGCTAAACCGCTTGATGGAATGACTGATAGGCCTTCATTTATTCAGGCCCGCCCTGCTCAGTCCTCCATGGGTGGGTCGCCCGCTTGCTTCTCTTTGCCGTCTTCTTGTGGTCTTGTGGCGTAAGATTCTCTGGGTATCTGGGTTGTCCCTGAAGCTGCAGCTCTTTGAGGTGGCTGCCGACCTTGGGTCTCATCTCCATGGCTCTCCTTCCCCTCACCCTTGCTGTCCTCTGTCTTCTGGGATGAGGGCCCCCGTGGAATCACAGCCTGTGACCCCAAACACAGCCTGTCTCACTGGTCTACCTTGCTGTCTTGCTCTCCGGGTGTCAGCACCCTCTTTTTAGTCCTCCTGCGCAGGAGGCTTAGGATAGGGTGGCCCCTACATGTCGAAAAAGGAGAACCTCTATCTAGGATAAGGTCGGCATTATTGGGCCTGGCCTTCTGATCGTTCGGTCTTTCTCCAGCTCTCATTATTCTGGTAACCCTCATGGTAACTGCATGGAGAATCTCTACCACATAAAGAGAGTACAGGCTATGTCTTTACTGCCTTGGGCTTGAATTCTGCCAGGGGCTGTAACCTTTCCTGCCTCAGCAAATCTTTCTTGGTGTCAATCATCTCAGTGAAATGAACCCCTTTATTGTTCGGAAAACCTTCCTTCCCAGGCAGGAGCTGTTGGTATGAGGCTGCCTGGGGTCCTGGCCTTGATGCTGTTGGTTGCCATGATGGCGGCTGTGATGCACCGCAGCAACTGTGACTCCTCTCAGGGTGTGAGGGTCGTTAGGCTGCTGGGGCATTGGGGTGGCTCAGGGTTCATACGAGTCCACTCTCTCTGTTCCTGCAGCTGATCCATATCAAGAACCTTGTGTTCATCAGTACATAATCTTAAAATAGAGTAGCCAAATTCAACAACCACAAAAAATGCAGGATGCCCAGTTCTATTTGAATGACTTAGCATCGACTTATGCTAAAGCAAAACCAAAATAACAGCAACAAAACCAACCAAACTTTTTTTTTTTTTTTTTTTTTGAGACAGGGTTTCTCTGTGGCTTTGGAGCCTGTCCTGGAACTAGCTCTGTAGACCAGGTTGGTCTCGAACTCACAGAGATCCGCCTGCCTCTGCCTCCCGAGTGCTGGGATTAACAAACATTTTTTAATTCAAAAAATTCCAATTTAGCTGAGCATCTTGTATTTTCTTTAACAATACTACCTCAAAGGACTAGGTAACATGATGGTTAATTAAAAGTGTCTGGTGGAATCTAACCCCCAGATCTGCCATTTGTAACCAGTATGGCGCCCGGCCTCTCCATCCTCCTGATACTGCCTCGGCTGCATAGACTCCATTATGGTGGCTGTGCCTTACATCTGGCTGACTTGAGTATTACATGGACTGCTTATCCATACACAGTCTTGGAGCTCTGCTTGGCTTCATGGGTCAAGGCCAGAGAGATGGCTCAGCAGTTAAGAGCACTGACTGCTCTTCCAGAAAACCCAGGTTCAATTCCCAGCACCCATATGGCAGCTCGAGACTGTCACTCCAGTTCTGGGGGATCCCACACCCTTACACAAACATACATACACGCAGGCAAAACACCAAGGCATGTTTAAAAAATACATAAATAAATACATTTTTTAAAAAAGCATTGAACTGTATGTTTTTTTGACTGTGCCTCAGCACCATTTGGTGCTTGGGTCATGATCAAGACTCCCTGGAGAGGTCCTTCCATGCCGTGGAGACTCTGAGGGAGCTGTGTGATGTTTTGGCTGCATTCCTTTTTAGGGCCGCTGCCTCACTTGCTCTGGTCTCTTTCAGTTTCTGAGAACAAGGCTCTGTGCCACCCTTCGTCGGTGGATTCACTCTCTACCAGCGCTGCCACGGAGGACCACGTCTCCATGGGAGGATGGGCAGCCAGGAAGGCCCTCAGGGTCATCGAGCATGTAGAACAAGGTAAAGCCGGCCCTGGGAGGTGGACCTCACTGGGAAACTGGTTTTCTGGGTCTTTCTCAGAATGGAATAATCACCGCTCACTGAGTCAGTGTTTTTTTGGAAACTTCTCCCTTGAAGTACAGGGTGCAGGTCCTCTGGCCCCTCCTAGAAACACTAGGGAGAAGGGGGGGGGGAGTGTGGCTAAAGGCTTTCTAGGTGATTCGATCCCTCACTGAAGATGAAGAACTACAGAACTACACAGAGACAATCTGACTCCTTGTGTAACTATTTTAATGACGTGGGGGTTTTCTTGGCTTGTTTTAATATCTGGAAGTGGAGAGGACCATGAACCCTGGCAAGCCTCAACCGACTCAAAAGCCCAAACGTTTGCTCCCTGTTTTTTGTTTTCCCAGATTATTTTCAGGCAAATCTCCATGTTGTTCATGTATACTTTCTCTTCAACATGAATGACTCCAGGTTGGAGAGATGGCTCAGGGATTAAGAGCACAGAATACTCTGGTAGAGAACCAAGTTCAGTTAACAGAATCCAGACCAGGTGACTGCCTGGAACTCCAACCCTGGAGGCATCTACCACCTCTGGCCTCTGTGAGTCCCAACATTTATGCACACGTAAGAACGTGTGAGCACGCGCGTGCACACACACTTGCTTTTTCCTTTTATTCAGTCTGAGACCCCATTTTGTGGGGTCGTGTCACCCACATTCAGGGAGAGGCTTTATCCCTCAGGTGAACCTCGCTGGAAACGCTGTCACAGACACGTGTAGAGTTTTGTCTCCAACGTGATTTTAAGTCTGTCTGGTCAAGATAACTGTGCTGGTTGGTGTAGTTTTGTTTTGCTTCGTCGATCTGATACAAGCTAGAGTCATCTTGGAGGAAGCAACCTCAGCTGAGGAAAGGCCTCCATAACAATGCCATGTGGGCAAGTCGGGGGGAGGGCATTTTCTTGATTATTGATTGCTGAGGGGGGGATCCAACACCCTGGGGACAATGACACCCCTGGGCAGGTGGTCCTGATGGTATAGGAAGGCAGGCTGAGCAAGCCACAGGGAGCAAGCCAGTGAGCAGCACTAACCCTCCAGGTCTGTATCGTGTTAATTGCATGCATGCTTTCAGGGCTGTTTGGTACTGGACAGCCGGTTGGTGCGTTCCTCAGTAGGGAAGACTCATTTCTTCTCAGCATGCCTAAATTGTCTGTAGCTCTTCCTGTAGGCTTTTCCAAATCCCATTAACAGGTCGATTTGTGCCGTCCTCATTCAGCTCCTTTTATCAGCGCTTTCCTCTCAGGCAGGACTCCACACCACACCCAGCAGAATTAAACAGCCGAGTCCTGGTATCAGCCTCAAATACAAACCCCAAGCCTCCCAGCTGCAGGGCCTCAGCCTTTCCTTTGGGCTGGTTCGAATGGGGACTCCAGGCCCCCCGTTTTAAATCCTATCATCCTGGTTCCAGGCTTCGTTTACTCTAGAGTCATCCTCTACCCCTTGTTTTCCTTCTGGCTTTTGACTCAGCAAGACGCCAGGCTAGTTTTCTGGCGGGAGACGGATGTTCTGGATTTTCCGGTAGCTTCTTCGTGATCTTGCTCTCATGTTTTCTATCCCTCGGGCATTTCTGTTGTTGTGACATCGATTCCAAAGATTTAATGAGTTGTAGACTCTCCCAGTTGACAGAGATAAATCACTGGGAGAGTCGTGTTAGGGCCGCCCTCTGGCTGCCTTCCCAATTGCCGCTCACCTTTGGTGAGAGTACAACAGCCCTCCATTAAATAGTATCTCCTTAAGTTCCTGAGCTGTCACAGAATTGCTCGAGTTCTGTCACACAAGGAAAGAATAGCATAGGCTAAAGATGTGAGTTGATTTTTTTTGTAGAGTTATATTCTATCATAATTCACCTCACCCCTTTAAAACATGTGGTTCAATGGTTCTCATATATTCACTGAATTGAGCAACCGCAAATCTTAGAACATTTCAAAAGAATGGATTTTTTTTTCATTCCAAAAGAAACCCTGTAGTCTTCAGTTCATCACGCCTCATCCTCCCTATTTCCTCCAGTCATAGGCAACCACTATATTAGGTCCCTATTTATAGATTTGCCCTCTATGAGACATTTAATGTAAATGGAGCCACACACACTACGTGTTCCTTTAGTCCGGTTTCTCTTACCTGGCACACTGCTTCCAGGTTTGTTCCTGTTCTAGTGTGTGTTAGCGCTGGTTTGTTTGGCTTTGGTTGTCCTAAGTAACACAGTTACTGGATGCACTCACGGTGGAAAGACTGGTTTGTTTGTGCCTTTTGGCTGATGAGAATATTTTGGGGGGAGGTGAGTGTTTTCATTTGTCTGGACTGGAATGATGGTGCCAAACAGTTGCTCTTCACTCATCCTTATGGGAGGTGGAGATGGCTTTCCATGGCGGGCGCACAATGGTATGTGCCTACCGGCCGAACTTAAAGACGCCCGTTTCTCCACGTCCTCGGTAGTTCTTGTTATCTGCCTATCATAGCGTGTTCATCTGAATCCATCACCTCCTTCTGCTTCACCTCCTATGCATTTGCCACGCATTACAAAACAGAGCGAGCATCCACAAATGCAATTTAGGCCACACCATGCCCCAGTTCGAAAATTGCCAGTTACTTTCCAGCACTCAAAAACCATATCCACCCCACTTCCTTAGGCCTAGAAGCCTGGCACGATCTGGTATTGGACTCTTACCCCCTTCTCTCATGTCGTCTCCATCCTCGAACCACAGTGTTGTCCTGTGATGCCAGGGAACACATCACCAGCAGCTCCGACTCCAAAGATTTCTGGTCCCTTCTCACTCCAACCACATAGCTAAACAAACTTCTTCTCACACATCTTCCTTGGCTGGAGCTACTACAGCAGCTACCATTTTTCCTTCCTTTGTTTTGTTTTGTTCTGATAGCACTCCATACCTCTGATATAGTTAGACTTGTCTATCTTCCCACAATGGCAAGGGTCTCATCCAGCTTGGCCATATCGCTAGATATGATTCGGATTGATTGCTCAAATGTTCACATGGCGGTAAATGGTTGCCTAGTTATTTAGCGCTGTTCTCTCTGCTTACACCATGAAAGGGGACTCAGCAATAAGTACGAATCGGCTGTCTTACAAACACAGCCATTACTTAAGTTTGTTTTGATTACAGATGTTCGGCAAATCCCTTCAAATTCTGGAATCCAGTAGTGCTGGCTGTAAGTGTGAGATACGAGGCTGCTTATCACAGCGCCCACTCCCTGTCCTTGCTTAAGCAACTAGCACGGGAGTCTGGAAAGTGTAGAAAGGCACCTGATGCTTGAGCAGAGCATGCAACAGAGTGGGCGAGGTGCACCCATCTCCTGCCCTTGCAGAAACCAGCGTCGGCTCAGAGGAGCAAACAGTGGCCAACCTGGCAACTCTTTGTGTTAATGAACAAGACACTGAAGGGCAGAGTTACGGGAGGAGAATACAAGAGGCTGGTCAAGTCTGAAGGGACCAAAAATGGCGTCTTCAAAGCAGAACCCATGATTAAGACCTGAATAACATATGGCCGTGTGTGTGTGTGTGTGTGTGATACACACATACACATATATATGTGTATATATATATATATATATATATATAGAGATATATATATATATAGAGAGAGAGAGAGAGAGATATAGAGAGAGAGATTGAGGGGTGAATGAATTAATGTTATGTTGGAAAAGGAAAGCGTATACAGAAAGTAAGTTGTTTCGGGATGCATTACAGTGACGACACGGGACATCCAAGGACAGATGCCAAAGTGCTTCAGGAAGGCACTGCTGGATGATTGACGGTCTGTGCTCTGTGTACAGAGGTAGCTGGAGGTGATCAGGGGTATGAGGTGCAGAGCGTGGTCTTGATGAAGCAGTTGCATCGGGGAATGGAAGAGGGCTTGAAGTATAACGGCCGACTGGAAGAAGGAAGGAAACCGGGTCAAAGGGAACGCCTTCAATAACACAGGGCAGCAGAGTTCTGAAGGGAGGGAAAGAGTACGAAGTCAAGACAATTCTAGAGACAAGGCCATGCTTTTAAACTAGCCCCCTGGTAGGTAAAACACTAGACGTGTTTCCAGTGTGACGAGTAGCTTATATATTTGCAATATACCTAAGGAGTACTGTTATTTATTTGCTTAGGATATTTTATTTCTTTTTAGTTCAAAGTAACTTTTTATATAGTATATTCTATATATATATAAGGGGAGTTCTATATATATGAGGGGAGTTTCCCCTCCCCTCATCTCCTCCCAGATCCTCTCCACCCATCCAACAAAACACCTTTTTTCTCTCCCCCTAGGAAACAGAAAGACCAATAAAACAAATAACAGACCGGACTAAAATAAAGTCAAGCAAACAGAAGAAAAAGGGGAAGAAAGCACATAACACTGGTTGTAATAGGTGAACGTCCGTAATGGACGTTTGTAATGGCAGGCAATTTCTTTCTCTCAATACACAGAAATCACCCAGAGTTGACTCCTGGTAGTTGCAACTCTGGGTGATTTCAGCTCCACAGGATGAAGCCAGACTTGAACCAACCGCTGCTTCCATGTTTCTGTTTTAGTGTTGGCCATCGAGCTCCTAGCTGCCTGCCAGGGCATAGAGTTTCTACGCCCCCTGAAAACAACCACTCCGCTGGAGAAGGTTTACGACCTGGTGCGCTCTGTAGTCAGGTAAAGTCAACAGGTCTCCGGGGCCCACTCCATTTCAGAACGGTGGATCTCTATAGAGGCAGGCGTGTGGCTGATGGCTTGATCTGCTTTCTCTGAAGGCCCTGGATAAAAGATCGCTTCATGGCCCCGGACATCGAAGCAGCCCACAGGCTACTTCTGGAGCAAAAGGCAAGCTGACGGCTTCATGGCTGTGGGAAAGTGAATGGGGGCTGGGTGTGGAGAGCTGTCTGGGCCTTTCTCTCCTGACTGTTCCCAGGGAGAGAACACAGAGGGATAGAGCTGATTTGAAAGGTGACCAGCTGATAGCCCCCCAAAGGCCCAGGTTGAATCCAAATACCGACTGTGGAAGGATTAGAGGCAGAAATAGGTTTTAAATGGAATGAATGTGGAGGCAGTATTCCTGAGGAGTTAACCTTCTCTACATGCCCTCTGCCCTGCTAAAACACGTCATCCTGCTGATGTTGGCACAGCTGCCACCACCAAATGAAGACGACCCTGTAAAGTCCCAGGGTTCCCTTGTGTCCCTGCACCTGCCTGGCTCAGCAAGATCATTTTCTTTACTGCTTATCTCCTCTGATTATATCGGCCAAGGACTTAGGCAATTGATACAGGTGCCTTAAGGGCGGGTCAGCTTTCAAAATGCATACAAACAAAAAATACATACACCCTATGCAAATTAATACATATGCATATTTTACATATGTACTTATACGTGTCTCATGCATAATGTGTATGCATATGCAATCCATATACCTTTTACATATATGCCATATATACATACACACATTTATATATACATATTTATATATATTTTTATATACACACATACACACTTTTATATGTATGTAAAGGCATATTTATATACACACATACATATATGTATATACACATTTATGTATACATATGCATACACACATTTTATATATGTACAAACACATATATACATTATATGTATATGCACACATTTATATATACATATATACATGCACATTTTATATATATGCAAACACACATATATATACACACACATATATACACACACACACTTTTATATACACACACACACATTTTGTTTTAATGCTTTAACACCTTTAGAGTCATTAGAGTCCCATTCCCTAGAATCTCTTGATTTCCCTTAGAGCTGTGACCTTGTTCTGGGGGAACAAACTTGCCCTTGAAACTTCACGTCTCTGATTTCAGGAGGTGCACCCCATGTCCTTTGAGGGAACACGTCTTCCACGAGGGCCTAGCCTGTGAAGAATACATGTTCTTTTTCAGATTTGTTTCAGATAGTATCTCATGCTATGTTAGCTCAGGCTGGCTCAAGATAACTGAGCAGCTCAGGTTGGCCGCAAGTTCACAGCAGTCTTCTTCCCTCAGTATATTCTAGAACCAAGGGTGTTAGGATTCAGGCAGGGGCCACCATGGCACGAGCTAAGAGTTTATTTTGTGAGGGCATAGAACGGGAAAGATTCCTTGGCTGTCAGGGGCCACTGGCAGAAAGAAAAGAAACTACACACCGAAAATGGGGCCTTAAGGAAATAGGTTGGTAGACGAAGAGGAAACCCTGGCCATGCATGTGACAGTCTTATCATCGTATACAAACCTAGCTTCCATCCCATAGTTCTCAGATGAAGGTGGAAGCTGACTCTGGCTTGTCCCAGGGGATGCTTATGGGGCTGGGCTACAGGCTGTATACTGCATACTGGTGGCCATAGAAACACAACCTCGGAGGAACTCATTGGACCACCTTTCAGCTCCCAAGCCTCATGCACTGTCCTATCCGCCAACCCTGAGTAAGCATCCAGGATTTCGCTCTGAGCTGCCAAGGTTCTGTTTGGTTTTGTGGATTTGCTTGTTTGGCTCTGGAGTAGGAAGCAGCTTAAAACCCTTTACTATGTGAGCTTGGTTTTGGACTTTGTCCTTAAAATCCTTTAATGCAACTAATTGACACAGAATGTGTCAAATGGCTCAAAATGTAAGCAAACAAGCTGCTACACGTTTGGCCAGGTATGGAGCACGCTTTTGGTTTGGGGTGAAGCTCTGATTTCTTCATAGTGCGGGGAAACAACCTTGTCTGTATTTTGACTGTGTTTCCCTCCTTGCCTCTCAGGTTTGGGAAGTTGCTGCACCATACATTGAGAAATACAGAATGGAACACATCCCGGAGTCCAGACCACTTTCTCCAACTGCGTTTTCATTAGAATCCCTGCGAAAGAATTCAGTCACCATCCCCGAGTCCGACGATCTTTAATGGGCTTCCTCGTGGTGGGGCACATCGGATGTGCCTGAGTCCAGCACAGCAGTGGTGTGCCGAAGGGGAGGCCCAGGAACTGCCCATGATGTATAGAACTCATCTCTTTTCAAACATGCTCTGGTTAGGCCCGTGGCAGAATGCAGCCGCTGGCTCCAGAGCCTTGTTGCCATGGTGGCTGGCTCGAGAGCCTTGTTCTTGTTGCCATGGTTCAAGGAGTGCTGGCTGTCTTTAGGTGGTGGCGTTTTCTTTCTTGGCCCATTCGTTTTTTAAGGATGGCCATAATTCCTTAGGTCTGTTTTTACTCGTAGTCTTAGGGAAATCATTATTTCAGAACATTCTTCTTAAAAACATTAGATTTTTGTGAACTTCTAAAAGCTTATCTATAGAAACTCTTGACTGACTTTCTCCGATCGATTGGACCATACCATAACCTGACAAATATGCCTCAATTCAGAGTTTGTTCTTAAGCCTTTCCTCCTTCTGCTAATTGAATCATAGAAAAAAAGTCTTGAGCAAGGGGAGCTAGCTCAGGGGGTGCATGATTGAGTTCATAGTGAGGATCCAAATTGAGTTCAGATCATGAGCTTCAATGTAAAAAAAGCCGGGTGCGGTAGTATGCACCTGAATGCTGGGGGGACAGAGGTGGGCAGCTCCTGGGGTCTCACTGCTCAGCCCGTCTTGCAGAAATAGTGAATTCCAGGTTCCGTGAGACACCCTGCCTCAGAGCAATGGTGCAGGAAGTGCTAGACAAAGACATATAACATTTACCTTCTGGGCTCCACATGTGCACAGGAGCAAGTGCACATGTAAACATACACATTCACACACACACACACACACACACACACACACACACACACGAGGAGGGGAACAGGTTTGAAGCCATTAACTACAGAGGTTACCAGTTCTTTTCTGGGGAGTTGCTTTTGGTTCTTCTCTGTGCCCTGTGCTTTAATCACCCCTCAAAGAATGAAAAGGAGTTAGGGGGTTGAACATAAAGATTGCTCTGGCCTCGCCATGCCTTCCGTATTTCTCCACGCACTACACATATCTCCTAAACGCTTGGTCATGTGCTCAAGTTGAAGTTCCAAGTTAGTCCTGTCCCCTCCCATAACTTAGTACTCCATTCACCTGTCTGTAATAACTTTGCTAAGCATCCGCCTGTTGCACCGATGAAGCATTTGGGTGTGGGGGTGGGAGCCAACCCACTGCCAGCAATAGGTAATCATTAAAATTTGAGTTTTGTTGACTCAGGTCAGATGGGGCCTTCAGATACGTTGCCCAATCTCTGGCTCTCCCTCAAGCAGATAAAGAAGACTGTGTAAGTGTTCAGAAGGGTCACGTGACCTCGTGACATCCCAAGGCAAAGATCAATGACTTTATACCCATCACTGTAAAGGTGTACAAAACCCTGCGTGTGCAAGGGTCTGGAAGTGTGGCTAGAAAGACTGTAGTTGGTTAGCAGAAAACACATGCCAGCATCCCTCCCTGATCACGGACTACAGGGGTGCAAGAGGTAACCCCCAGTCCACTGCCACTCTTCTGAGCATGCCTTGTTCACAATCACTGCCTTCAGCAACTCAAGAGGTGAAAAAGGGCCCAGGAACAGGCTTAACTGCAGGTTATTCTTGGTGTTGCTTTTTGTTGAATGTCAACACACACACACACACACACACACACACACACACAGAGCTTACTCATTCTACCCAAGCTGCAGCAGAGGCAGCGAACCCCAGCAGAGAGCTGTTCCCAGTTCGGCAATGCTGGCTTCCTGTCCACCTCTGTCTTTCTTTGACAGATGTCATCCCTAGGTTTTGTATAGAGCTCTGTTAGTTCCCAGTCTTCAAGAGTATATGGGAGATAAGGGGCAAGCTGTGTCAATGGCTTGCTATCATGATGTTCTTTGACTGGGGAGAAATTGAGCCTAGGGACATGCACTGGCAGTGAGCTGCACTCCTATCTCCTACTTTTATTTGTTTTGAACAAAGTTTAGCACCTAATATTTGCTTTTCTGTTGCTGTGAGAGAACACTGGGAACAAAAGCTGCTTTGGCAGAGGAAAGGGTTTCTTCCGGTTTACACTCCCATGGACGGTTCATCACCGTAGGCAGTCAGGGCAGCAATCTGGAGGAATGCCGCTTGCTGCCTGTTGACTCTTAATTATTTTACACACCCCAGGCCCAGTTGCCTAGGGTTGGGGCCACCCACAGTGGGTTGGGTCTTCCCCACCAATTACCAATCAAGATAATCCTTCACAAACGTGACCACAGGGATGTAGGCGGTCCCTCAGCTGAGCCTTCCCAGTTGACTCTAGGCCCTAACAAGGTAAGAACTGTAGTTTACTAGGACTCACCTTGACCTCTTTAGACAAAGCGAGGGGAGCTAGTCAGGTTTCTGAAAGACCCAATCAGAAAAAGCTAACAGATCTGAGACAATGTGCTAAGCCCAGGGCCTTGCCTGTGGAGAGGTGGCAAATGAGCTGGCAGATCAGGGTTCCCTTCCTCGGGGTGCTTGGCTGGGTTTCTTCGCTGAGGGCGGTAGGAGAACGCGAGTCCTCAAGCATAAAGTTTGCCAAAACTTTTGTTGTCACATCTGCTGATTCCCTAGTGGCCAACACAAGCCGCGTGGCAAACCAGAGCCTGATATTATACGGCATAGACATATGACTTAGAATACATTCTCAAACCATCTACCCAGTTCATAAAACCTAATAAACATGTGGAAAGAGATACGTTTCGTACAATTTTACTTGTGTTTTATTTTTGGGTCTGGCCATTGTAACACTTTTATTAGGTATCATGTTATCATAAAGCTATGGGTCAGGACCCCTTCGGAAGTTGAACAACTCTTCCACGGGGGGCTGGGCACTTAAAACCATCAGACAACACAAATATTTACATTGCAGTTCATTATGATAGCAAAATTACAGTTATGAAGTAGCAACAGAAATAACTTTATGCTGGGGGGGAGTGTCACCACAGCATGAGGAACTGTAATAAAGGTTGCAACATTAGGAGGAAGGTGGAGAACAACTGTTATAAACAACTGATCAAAAATAAATAAGCAATTGGTCATCTTGCCCTTTTGGGTGTTCTTAGTTCAAGGCATTCATGTATTAGATGTGAACGCTGGAAACAAAGGCGAGAGCGTTCACTCGGTTCAGAGGAGACCCTGCTTGGTGTAAACGGCCTCTCCTTTCTGCTACCCGCTTCGTTCAAGGAAAGCCTGGGATTGCAACAGAGCTTATGGCATGGACAACTTTGGAGAAGGCATTTTCTCTTTCCTGGAGCCAGGGAAATCATCTTTCTCTCCTGCTTGCCCTGGATGAAGAAACTCGGAGTTGACTGACAGCCAGATCCAGGGCATTGCTGGGTGGCAGAGCAGGAATCTGGGTCATCCTGTGGCTGACTTGCTGTAGATACCAAAGGGTCGCCCTGCTTCTAAATTTCCAACGGTGAGTTAAAGAGGCTGTTTCTCTACTCCACCTCTGCTTCTTTACTTCCCTCCTTCCCTTCTTCATTCCTTCCTCCTTTGGTACTGAATTTAGGGTCTCATACATTCTAGGCAAGTGCTCTACCATTGAGCTATGTATTCCCAACTATTTTATTTTGAGATTGTTAGGTAAGGCAGAAATGAGCTCGAGCTCTGGTTTGGTTATAGATTTATTTATTGTGTATACAGTATTCTGCCTGCAAGCATGCCTTCATGCCAGAAGAGGGCACCAGATCTCATTACAGATGGTTGTGAGCCACCATGTGGTTGCTGGGAATTGAGCTCAGGACCTTTAGAAGAGCAGGCAGTGCTCTTAACCACTGAGCCCATGGGTTGTTTTTTTTTTTTTTTTTTTTTTTTTAAAGGGAGCAAGCTTTTAAGGTTTTACTTTCTAATGTTCGTCTTAGCCCTAGCAGGATCACAAATTCCCTGAAGGCGATGGCCAGCTTAGACTTAGAACTTCAGACAGAAAGGGAGCAATCTCTACATTTTCCAGGTAGATGAAAGAACTCACGGTGATCAAAGCCTCATGCGTGCATGTGTGCGTGCGTGCGTGCGTGCGTGTTTGTGTGTGTGTGTGTGTGTGTGTCTTTTTCAGATCTATTAGCTCTCCTGTCCTGCACAGCACCCAGCCCACACATTCTTTTCTCAGAAGGGTGCTACTGCCTCCCAAAGGCGAAAACTTCTTGGCAGGCAAAAGGTTAAGTTGACTTGAACTAAGATGACCTGAAAACCTTTTGGGTTCATTTTCTTTCTCCTTTCTGTGATTTTTCATTTTGTTTTGTTTGTGTTTGCGACAGAGTCTCACTATGTAGCCCAGGTTACTAGCCTGGAACTCAGAATCCTCCTGCCTCCACTCCCCAGTGTGAGAATTTCAGGTGTCTACCACCACTCTGGCTCACACGGGTCTATGAAAGAGCCAAAGACACCAGGTGGCGGTGCGCGCTCCTAATGCCATCATTTGGGAAGGTGGATCTCTGTGTTCTAGGCCAGCGTGGTCTAAAGAGAGAGAGAATTCTTGGACAGCCAGGGCTACAAAACAAAATAGCTGGGGAAGGGGGGACACTAAGGCATTTCTCCCGGGACTGTAGATGGTTGTTTAGAGGTTTTGTTATCAAAGCCTATTCTCTTCTGGAGTGGGGGCAGGTGTGGTTGCTTTCTCATCCACCACGCCCTCCCCCCACTGCAATCTGCCACGAGTTGACTCAGCGCCAGGGGTGGGGGTGGGTGCTCTCCCGAGCTCGTGCCCCACAATTTGGAGCTTGAACAGAAGACACAGTTGTGAGCTGAATAAGCCTCTTCACTCCGCACCTAGCGTGCCCCAGGTGCATGACCACAGCAGCAAACTCTACCTAATGCGGTGTCTTCGCTTATACGGAACGGAGCACCTCATTAATTCAGGCTCCAAATTTGACGATGGTTTGGCAACTAATGTTTATTTGTGAAATCACTACTTTGTAAAGTGGACAGTGTTCGATAACGCTACCATCACAAAGATCTCGGAAACAGTTTTACAGGTTCCCAAGTAAGCCGATGTGGCGTGAGAAATACCACTTTACGCAAATAATCATTCTGCAAATGATTCTGTGATTTGTTCTTTGAAATCCAAACACGCTGCCGACAACACTGCTGTACTACTTCCGGGGCTGCAGGAGCAATGGTGGCAATATTTATACGATAAAACCTTTTCCATGGCTTTGTGATAGGAAAAGGCTTTAGCGGGAAGATTTTTTTTTTTAAAGCTACTTTGTCGGTGTTAATCAAAATGCATTCATATAGGAGATTTTTTGTTTTGTTTTGTTTTGTTTTGTTTTGTTTTGTTTTTTTTTTTTTGGTTTTTCGAGACAGGGTTTCTCTGTGGTTTTGGAGCCTGTCCTGGAACTAGCTCTTGTAGACCAGGCTGGTCTCGAACTCACAGAGATCCGCCTGCCTCTGCCTCTGCCTCCTGAGTGCTGGGATTAAAGGCGTGCGCCACCACTGCCCGGCCATATAGGAGATTTTTCATGTCTGTGCAAGATATCAAGTGTTGAACTCTGTGGTGAAGCTTCATTCCAAAGGCTGACAAGATGTTAAAAATGGAAGGCCACCTCTGCCCCAGACTAGAAAGCATCTCAAAAGACAAACTGTAGGGAGAGAAGATTCTGTTTGTTTCTGAGGAAATGGTCCCGTTGGCCTCATTGGGGCAGATCACTTTCAAACACAAAACAGAACTCTCAGGACAAGTGTGTTTCTCCACAGAGGAGCAGAGCTATCTCATCATACCCACCCCAGAATATCTGTAGCCAGCCTTGGAGAAACGACTCTACATTGCATCCCAATAGGTTTGCCTGTTTACACATCCAGGCACACACGTTCAAGTCAAATAAGCTAACCCCTTGAGTTTCCAAGCTAACAGAAGGGCATGACATACGATTAGGTTGAAGTGACGTGGGTTCTGGCAAGCTACGGAAGTGCTTCAACTTATGGGGGTTTAGTTGATACAGAGAACGTGTCTTCTCTTTCCTTCCAGACCTATCATTATTAGAATACATTCTTATCTTATTACATTTATTTACGTGGCAGCGTCGTGGGGAGCGGAGGAGTCAGGTACACACCACAGTGAGCTTCTGGAGGTCAGAGAGTAACTCCTAGGAGATCTCTCCTCCCACAATGTGAGTCCCAGGGATCCAACTCCGGTCGGCAGGCTTGCTGACAGGAGACTTTACCCACTGAGCTATCTCACTGGTCCAGCTCTGTCACTTTTTGTAGATGACTTTTCCTTTAGCTATAACATAGTCAATTAATTCGTGATGGCCTCCGAACTGGTAAATCAAATGTTCCCATCTAGAAAGAAAGCAAACAGTCGCTTCAGCGTGTGCAAATCAAAAAGCACCAGTGTGTCAGTGAATTTAAAGTGAATTCTGCACGTGTATGTGTGTGTCCGTGTGTGTCTGTGGGTATGTGTCCATGTTCTGTACTGAATGAAAAGGAGAGAGCTGAAGGAGGAGGGTCATTTGCTTATGTGTTACTTTCATTGCTTGATAAAGAAACTGCCTTGGCTTTTGATAGGACAGCAGCTTAGATAGGTGGAGTAGACAGAACAGAATGCTGGGAAGAAGGGAAGTGAGTCACAGATGATATAGCTCTCCTCTCCAAGATGGATGCAGGTTAAGATCCTTTCCGGTACCTCGTGGTGCTACACAGATTATTAAAAAGGGGTTAATCAAGATGTGAGAGTTAGCCAGTAAGAGAATGGAGATATGGGCCAGGCAGTTTTAAAAGAATACAGTTTCTGTGTAATTATTTCGGGTAAAGCTAGCCGGGTGGCGGGAAGTGGCCCGCTGCTCCTATTTCTACAGAGAGCTGAGCACTGGCGAGCAGTGTGTGTGTGTGTGTGTCTGTGTGTGTCTGTGTGTGTCTGTGTATGTCTGTGTGTATGTGTGTCTGTGTGTATGTGTGAATAAAAATGAGAGAGCTGGGAACTGACAAGCAGTGTGTGTGAGTGTGTGTGCATTCACGTGTATGAGCACACACATGGACTATGGCTGCTCATCTGTGTGAGTCCACGTGGAGGCCAATAGGACACATCAGCTGTCTTCTTGAATCACTGCCCACCTTGCTTTTTGAGGTAGGTCTGTCACTAAACCTGGAGTCCCTCAGTTTGACTAGACTGTCTGCTCAGCCAGCCCCAGGGGAGCCCCCTGCCTCGGTTTCTCCAGGGCTGAGCACACAGGCCTACCGTCCCAAGCCTGGCTTTTATTGTGGGCACTGGGAATAAATTTCAGGTACTCATATTCAGACAGCAAGGGTTTGATATGAATTGAGCCAGTTCTCCGGCTCCTGAATTTTCCAAAATTGATTCATGGGTGTCACGTGCACTTTATCTTTGATGGAAGGAGGCAGCTGTTCTTCCAGGAGTGACATTATGGGGCTCCTGTCCTCTGTAGAACATGGGTCCCCGAGGACTGTGATAAGCTCATGGGAGTAAAAGGGACATCACATTGCCAGCATCTGGACTTAGACGTTAGGATCCAACCTGGCGGCCCAGGTCACAGACCTAAGAACTCAGGAACGGAGCAGCCTAGTGGAGGCATTGAGATGGAGAGCCATTTGATTCCATGAGTCAGGGAAAGAATACGCTGGAGCCGGAGTGATAAGGAGAAAAGAGAATGAGCCAAGCACAAACTCAAACACACAGACTCAGGGGCAAGTCCGAAGTCCAGGGAAACGGCAGGATTTGGAGGCTCGAGGAAGATGCACGGCACCTGGAGAGGTCTGAAGACTTGTAGACTTGCTTTGCTGTGTAGTTGAAGACCTCATGGTGGGGGAGGCCTCTGCTTGGCAAGGGGTAAAGACAAAGGGTGCTGGGCAGTCTGCCGTTTACCCGATACTTACTAATAGCAAGCAGAAAGGGTCCTAACACTTGCCCACACGTACATCAAACAAGACTAGTTGCTGTGGAGGGTACTCTCTTGGGAGGCCCCTCACCTGGATGCATTGATGATGATGACATCCCCCTGCTTGCCAACTTCCAAAGATCCGTGTGTGTGAGACTTCCCCAGCGCGTAAGCTGCATTGATGGTGGCAGCGGCCAAGGCCTCGGGCATGGACATTCTCATGTTCACACAGGCCAGGTGCATGACCATCGGCTAAGGCAGGAAGAGAAGGCATTGGAGGAGCAGCCATTACAAGTCAGGATGCTTCTCCACAGCACAAGCAAAGACGATTAAATGTGTGTCCGGTAGGAATAGCTCAGATAGAGTTTGTGTTTGGTATGCAAAAGGCCCCAGGTTTGCTTCCACTCCTCTTCCCCCCAAAAGTATGTATGTATGTGTATATATACAAATATATAAAGATAAATATATACACATACATATATACATATATGTATATACTATGTAATGTATTATATATTATACTATACACATATAAGTGATATATAGCTCAGTTGCTATGGGAAGATGCAATTTTATACATAAGATTCTTAAACTTTATTATTGAATAATACTGTATATTTAATATTACAAGTTTTCAGGAACCTTTGCTGTGTTTGCCTCCACCCTCACCCACTAAAGCCTCGCTGTCTCTGTTATGCCCAGAAAAGGAAAATGTCTTATTATAAACCTTAGCCTAAAGCTGAATCAGAAGACAATTCAAATTGAGATTTATCTCCTCAGTCCTGGGTGCATTCGTGTGGGCAGAAAAATTCAATTAAACCACTGCCTGTACCCTTTTCCTCTTCTCAGAGAAATCATTTTAGATCTTTAAATACGTTTTCACAACGAATGAAAATTTTAAACATTTATGTATTCCACCTTTTACTCTGTTCAGAAAATAAAGTATCTTAGAAGTAATTACCATTGAAAAGCAGTAGGCATTGGGGTTGAAATCGCTGCCCAGGGCAACTATGACTCCCTCCTCGAGCATCTTCCTGGCTCGAGGCTGCTTCAACCTAAGGGAAGAGGGGAAAGGTGTCTGTCTCCAGCTGGCGCTTTTGCAAGAACAAAGGGGACATTTCCTGTTCTAGAAGAGGAAAGAAAGCTCCAGGGTAAATGGTGGAGGGGAGGAGAACATTAGCACTGCTCGCCCGTTTTCCAGACTCGTCTGTTGTTTGCACCTTTAGGATGATGGCTTTGTACCACTGCCGCTGCATCCCTTGGCATCCGAGTTTCTGCATCATATGTTCTCGCGAGATCATAGGCAGCAACGCCTAGGCACCCTTGGAGTCTCCATCCTCACAACCTGTGCTTGAAGGCAACGTGTCAGGGTGAGAAAGGCCCTTACCTCAGCATGTAGGCCGTGGTAGGCAGAAGGACAGCGGAACACTTAGCCGCAGCCATGGCAGCGATGCCTTCGTCGCTTACTTCCTCCAGGTGACTGATGGCCTGTGCTCCCAGTTCAGCCCCAAGCTAGGCAGAATGGGCAGACATGGAAAGGTTTAACATACAACAGTTCCATACATGACCCTACTTCCCCTGCTTTGTGAAGATTTTTGTTAACTATTTCCGATGAGCACAGGTCCCCAAATAGATATTAGGTCTGTCACGGACCGCCATTGGAAAATTAGCATGTTGGTAAAAACTCATCTTCAGGTGGGGGTATGGCGGCTCACATCTGTGATCCAAGCACTGGGAAGAGTGAGGCAGGAGAGTTACCAGCCTTGGCTGGCTACATAGTGAGTTCCAGGCCAGTCAAAACAATAGAGAGAGATTGTTTTTCTTTCTTTCTTTCCTTTTTTTTTTTTTTTTTTGCTTTTTCTGACCAATAGGAACTCACTGAACACAGAGATCACAGTCATTCCACAAACTCAGCAAACACTTGCCCGCAAACATTACACATCTGTACCCCAGGCCCTGTACTGACCTCCAGGGACAGGGAGCTCCAAGTGTCGGGTACAAGCTTAGTCAGTGGGGGAAAAACAGGGTGAAGCCACCATCTAACATTAAGGGGATTTGGGGTGGGGTTCCAGAGAAGTAGCAGCCAAGGAGAAACGTGGATGAGAATGTGGATTATCCAGATTAGAGAAACAGTGTGTTCAAAGTGGAGGATGTTGAAAGTAGTCTGTTGTACTTGGTTAACAACAGAGAGGCAGAGGAGGTAAAAAAGATGCAAGAGAGAAATGTGGAGAGATAAGGAGGGTTCAGTCCTGGTACCCATGTCCAGAGGCCAGAATCCGTACTAAGAGCAACACTCTACGCCTCGTTTTACTTGGGATTACTATGGTGATGAAACACCATGGTCGAAGCTAATGGAGGGAGGAGCAATTTGGATTACACTTCCACATCACTGTTCATCATTAAAGGAAGTCAGCCCAGGGTCTCGAACAGGGCAGGTATCTGGAAGCGGGAGCTGAAGCCGAGGTCATGGAGGGGCGCTGCTTACTGGCTTGCTCATCAAGACTTGCTCAGCCTGCTTTCTTATAGAACCCTGGACTACCAACCAGTCCAAGGAGGGTAACACAGTGGGCTGGGCCCTCCCCCACCAATCACTATTTAAGAATATGCTCTACAGTTGGCTCTCACGGAGGCATTTTCTCAACGGGGGTTCCCTACTATCAGACGACGCTAGCTTGTATCAGATTGACAAAACAAAGCTAAACTAAACTAACCAGCACAGTTGACCAGATTTAAAATCACGTTGGAGACAAAAAAAAACTCTGTGCGTGTCTGTGACAGCGTTTCCAGTGAGGTTCACCTGAGGGTTAAAGCCTCTCCCTGGATGTGGGTGACGCGATCCCACAGAATGGGGTCTCATATTGAATAAAAGGAAAAAGTAAGCGGAGTCCCAGCATCCCCACCCCTCCCTTCCTGACTGTGACTGCCACGTCTTCACCACAACTGACTATGTCCCCAAACCATGAGCCCCTCCCTCTAAAGCTACTGCGGCTGGGAGTCTGTCACAGTGAAAGAGAAGTGGCTAATTCGTGTGCTGACCACAACTTGCCTTGGATTTAGCAAAGGAGATCACAGGGATGCTTCTCTCCACTGTAACTATAATAGAAGTCATAGGAGACAATAAAGGAAATAATCAGGCTAGGGGTAGCACAGCGCTCAAGCCCCTGCTTGGCGGACACAGAACAACAGCCACCACAGGGAATGATGGGCAAGCAGAAATAAGTTGTGTGTGTCCCAGCCTGTGTATAGATATGAATGCACATGTGCCTGTGTGGACCCTTCCATGTGTGTATGTCTGTTTGTGTGAGTGTGCATGTGGATGTATGTGTGTCTGGATGTGTCCCGTGTGTGTGTCTGTGTGTGTCTATGTGTATGCCTCGTGTGCATGTCTCTGCGTGTCTGTGTGTGCATGTATTGTGTGAATGTCTCTGTGTGTATCTGTTGGAAGTGTGCATAAATGTGCGTGTGTTTGTCTCTGTGTATGTGTGTGCGCGTGTGAGTGTGTATGTGTGGAGGTCAGAAAACAACCTCAAGTATCGTTTCTCAGGCACTGGCCCCTGTTTGTCCTTCCTTCCTTCCTTCCTTCCTTCCTTCCTTCCTTCCTTCCTTCCTTCCTTCCTTCCTTCCTTCTTTTTCTCTTTCTTTTTCACAGGGCTTTTTGGTTTGTTTGCTTTTTCAAGCAGGGTTTTTCTCTGTGTAACAGCCCTAGCTCTCCTGGAACTGGCTCTGTAGACTGCTGGGATTAAAGGTGTGTGCCACCACTTCCTGGCTCCAATAAATAATTTTTTTAAACATGTATTTATTAAACATGCCTGCAGGCCAGAACAGGGCACCAGATCTTATTATAAATAGCTGTGAGCCACCATGTGGGTGCTGGAAATCAAACCCAGGTCCTCTGGAATAACAGCCAGTGCTCCTACCCTCTGAGCCATCGCTCCAGCCCCCATGAATCACTCCTTTTGCAGGCGTGCGGGGAAAGAGCAGATTGTCAGTCATACCTCCGCGGCCTTCATTGGGTGGAGTTCATCCCCGTGGAAGTTGATCTGTAACCCCATCTTTTTTCCACCCTCAAGAATCCTTCGGGTGGTATCCAGATCAAAGACACCCTTCTCACAGAACACGTCTATGTTGTCAATGTGTAGGTCCCCATTTCTGCTGAGTTCCTTCAGCCTTGGCAGGTGATTATTGATGATGTCATCAGTGGCCTCAATGGCAGTTTTCCCTCTAGTGGAAGAAAATGAGATAAGCATGGGCATAGTCTTCATACGTGTTCATACATGTTCTTTAATATTTGTGATGTGCAATGCATTGCTTAATAATCTCAGTGTATTATAGATACATTAAAGACTATATATAGTTTAATAAAGGAAGGATAATAAACAGTATAGGCAAGTGAGCTTAAGCTTCAGAAAGGAAGAGACAAAGTCCAGAAAAGAAGCCAGAGCATTTGGCAATTGTGCATGCTCACATAGCCGGGGTGGTGATGAGACTTCCGTCTGGAGGACTAGGCTGTGTGACTTTTGGGGATGTCAACAGGCCCCTAGCTGTGAAGCTGAATTTCTCTATCAAGGACACTTAGAGGCCACCCTGAGCCCCAGCTATAGTTCTTCCTTTTTCTTCTCTATTCACAATTTTTCCTGTCGCCTTTACCTACGCATCCTGCCTTGTGAAAGGGGTGGAGCAAGGAGAAGAAACACTTTGTAAACCTTGGGAGTTGTTAGCAATGAGCAGGGGCAGACAGAGCATTTGAGATCAGCCAGACATGGAGTGCCCCAATCCCTTCCTGCTCCAGAACGTTAGACACACGGTTTGACTGTGATCTGTGCATGAGGGTAAATCAGTGGGAATTGAGATGCAGCCTTCAGAGGCTCATGGGAAGCTGGAGATAGTTTTCCTAAAACTCCAGCCCCATGTTAGGCATGGCGGCTCTCACTCAGCAAAACATGGAGGTGAACCCTCAGAGGTCAACAAGCAGGGTGTTTACACAAGCTATTTCTGTGTCTCACACCAGTGACTTAGAGCAGGGTGTGTATAACTCTTTATTGCACGCATGTTGTTCATGTTCGGCAGAGTTAAGAAACACCCTTAAAATCACTTAGCTAGCAGGTAAGCTGCACTTAAACTCAAGTTTCAATACTTAAAAAAAATATTTAAAAAGCAGGCTGTTCCATGCTTTATACTCTACTTGAAATCGTCTACAACTCCCTATAGAAAGGCTCTTTCAAAAGTCTCAGTTCAAACTTCAGTAACTTAAAAAAAATTGAAATGCTAAAAGCTTAAAACAAAAAATAATTGGAAATATTAAATATTTATATTTTTTTTCTACATAACCAGCTGTATAAATTTCTTTCTTTCTTTCTTTCTTTCTTTCTTTCTTTCTTTCTTTCTTTCTTTTCTTTCTTTCTTTCTGAGACAGGATCTCACTGTGTAGCCCTGGGTGGCCTGGAACTTTCTGTGTAGATCAGGTTAGCCTCAAACTCACAGAGACCAATCAGTTTCTGCCCTCTGAGAGCTGGGATTAGAGCCATGCACCGTCATGCCTGGGGTGTTCTTTTAGTGTTAATTTTTTGGTTCCTCTGATTGAAGGTCGTACGGGACTATCAGCACGAACAATTACATTCCCATCCAACATGGTGTCATAGCAATGCTCATTACACTGTATTCTTTTAAACTACTCCAAGACAGATTTGAAGCCTTTTCCCCTCAAAAGTGGTAAGTGCTGTCATGAATTAGTATGTTAGTGTGATTCAAGTCACTTCAAAATGCACACGCATCTCTATGCGGCATCTTGGATATAATAAATACACACAGTTTTATATAATCAAATAAAATACATTTTGAAGTTCATTAAAGTAAAAAAAATTAAAATTAATTGATACCATTTAAGTTTAGATATTGTTTGTAACGTAAGTCTATGATGGAGGGTCAGTTATTAATCTGAAAAGAATTTGGAGACAACCACTCCGACCTTTCAGATCTGGGCCGTGAACCTTCCTGTCTAGAAGTTCCGGGACAGAACGGAACTGCACAGCTAGGCCATCAGAGACAGAGTTCTCTTCATAAAGCCAGGGAGCAGAGAGTCTTTAGATAAAGGCAGAGGCTTAAAAAAATGTTAATAAAATGAAAATATTTGCTAGTGAGCAAAGAGATTAACAAAAGCCCTTCCGCGGACACTCAGACCACACAACTTGATCTCCTAGAGGAAATAACTAGGGATTTTTTTTACAGTGGTGTAAGCTGATTGATTATCCTGGGAAATTATTTGAATTAGTAACTAATTTGAAAGGACTCGCAAGGGACCATTCTTATTCTAAAGAAGTCCTGAAGTGTTTCCTCCATTTTCATCCTTAAAGGACTAGGAAAACTGAAGAGGGTGTTGCGACCCCTTCCTTAAACCACCTGGGCACCACGACCCGCCTTTAGAAGCAGGGCATCTTTCCAGATGCTTCTCCAGACAGTCTGGGCGGAGTGACAGCTGCCCCACCTCAACCCGCCCCCACTCCCGCCGCCGCTGCTGAGATTACTTGGGGACTGAGTGAGCCCCGCAGTAAGTGGCAGAGAGGCCCAGGGGCAGCTCCCGCCGGGCGCGCTCGATTACGCGCAGCATCTTGAGCTCCGTCTCCAGGTTGAGGCCGTATCCGCTCTTGCACTCCACCAGCGTGGTGCCGGCCCTCATCATGCACTGCAGCCGCTGCCGGAAGGAGCGGAAGAGTTCCTCCTCCGAGGCCTGGCGAGAGTGCTCCACCGTGAAGTTGATCCCTCCTCCGGCCTGGTGAATGTCCATGTAAGTGGCTCCTGCCAACTGAAGGCATGGCTCACTCAGGGAGGTTACAAGTCGGTCTGCGGAACCTACCTCCGGGGGTGATGTTAGAAGACTGTTAAGGGGTTTGACGGTAAAGAACAGAGGTTGCTATGGCAGAGGACTGGGGTTCACTTCCAGCATCCACGTGGCAGCTCACAATCACCTGGAACTCCAGCTCCAGCAGAATAACGCGCGCGCGGACACACACACACACACACACACACACACACACTTACACACACACACACTTAAAAATAAAGTAAAACTAATTTTACAAGATGGTTAGGAAGCAACTAGGCATGGTGCAGGTCAGTAATGCCAGCCCGCAGGAAGTGGAGGCAGGGGGATCAGAGGTGCAAAGCCTACTTTAGCTACATAGGGAGTTACAGGTCAGCCTGGGCTACACCAGACCCTATTTCAATCAGTCCGTAGGGCACGGGCACTAACAGCCACAGCAGAAAGAGGGGCACTTAGTCCTGAAAGACACCCCCAGGTGTGCAGAGGGGAGTCCCAGAAAGTGCTTGAGAGGTGGAGATGGCCGAGGTGGTGGTGGCGGGGCAAATGGGCAGCTGAAGGCAGTAACAACTAATTACAATCACAGCGAAATTGACCCCAGTGCGTAACCAGGCAAGCCCACGTCAGTCTCCATCCCTTGGCAGGGTTGAGCAAACAAAGCTTAGGGGTTTATTTCAGCTTTCTGCTAGCCAAGACCAAGGGCAGACTCTATGCCATTTGGGCGCCAGAGTTTGGAGCCTAAGTTCTGTCACCCAAGCAAATAAAGAAGCTCTTTCTACAATCCCAGTAATCACTAGTTATCTGGACAGTAAGAAGGGTGAGCCGCGCAAAGCGGGCGCCTGCCTCCCCCCCTCCCCGCCATCCTCCACTAGTCTCCGCCCTCCCTTCCCAGACACCGGTCTCTCCGTCGTCCTATAGTAACAGTATTTGGACCACAATCTCTAAGGTGCCTTCTAGCTCTGGAATTCAGTGCAATAATAAAATTGCCTTAAAAGCAGCTCCGACTTGTTGAGGAAGGCACACAATTGCTGGAGAAAAGAATTTTCCTGATTTCCAAAACAATTTGTCACTGCTAGGCTGCACTGCCCCCCCCCCCGCCCCCAGCAACGTGATAATGGCTCCTTTTAGGAGCCAGCTATGGTTCCTGTAACTGATACGACTATATTTTATGGTCTTCGTAAGTCTCATTTTTTTTTCTGAGAGAAAAAAAAGAGAATAATGTAAGACATTTTATTTTCAGTTAGTAATATATTCTTCCAAGTTCGTCTGCAGTCAACAGTGATTTTCAAACTATTTCTTGGAACTTGTTCAAAATTTCAAATAATGATTTAGAAAAGCGGAAGGAGGGGGAATCACCCACCGAGTTGCTAAACTCAGTTCTTTAAAAAAGAAGTCTATAGTTGAAAACCTTCAGATACTCCTTTTCTTTAACTGGTTGCTAGCTCCACACATCATATAAAGATTTGGGGCTGTTTTAACTAAGTCTGGTTCTATTGTCTTTTTTTTTTTTTTTTGGTTTTCCGAGACAGGGTTTCTCTGTGGTTTTGGAGCCTGTCCTGGAACTAGCTCTTGTAGACCAGGCTGGCCTCGAACTCACAGAGATCTGCCTGCCTCTGCCTCCCGAGTGCTGGGATTAAAGGCGTGCGCCACCATCGCCCGGCTCTATTGTCATTTGTGTTCTTCATTGAGCCAAGGAAAGACATCCATTAAGAAGCTATACAGGATAGGCTGGCCCCTTATTCAGTCATTAGAGGTGGAACCTGTTTGTGCTTTCTTGGGTTGCCGTCATTCATTTTGCGGTTACCTTCATGGCAAACTCATGGACCCTTTCGCCAGCCCACACGGGGTGTGTGTGCGCGTCCACCAGTCCTGCAACCAAAGTTGAGAAACAGGAGATGCTTAGCAGTGACTGACTGTATCACGGTGCTCTAAGTGCACGGTGGTGGCCAGCTCGTTTGGAAGAGGGCGAGTGTGCAAGACTTTGTGAGGTTCCCTCTACGTGGGCGATCTAGAAAGTTCTAGTAGAGGAGAGGTACTCATCACCACGCAACGTCCCTCAGAGATAACCAGCCCGCTTACCCAGTAATTGTGCTCACCCCAAATAAACCTTGACGCTATGGTGGCAAAACTATTAATTGAGCAAAACTGAGAACAAGGACTAGAAAACACACACTCCGCTACTTCGAGAAGGAACTGTAAGGAAGGTGCGAGTAGCTTCAAGAAATACTTAAAGGGAATCTGTAATCACTTTATGGGCATGCAATAGGAAATCACACTGGCAAAGCAGAACTCCAATTCTTGGAGCCCCAACATTTTGAACGCTATGGTTAAGGCTCTTTTTTAAGACAACCCAATTGTCTTCCTTTTTGCTGTCCTAGAACCACTGTTCATTTCTGAAAAAGAGCTTCAGCACCTGGTAAGACGCATTTCCCAGAGCAGTCAATTCTTTCTTCAAAAGTTTCTCCGGAAAACTGTCTTTGGATAACGTCCGCAGGGCCAATAGCTTTTATAAACCCATCCCTGGGAGGGGAAAAAAAAATCAAGAAACAGTTACTAAGTTTGGGGAAATTTTCCTGAAAAATCTGACTAATGATTTAAACGTACTTTTGGATGCCATGTTAGCCAGCGTTTACTGTATTTCCCTCTTGACCTGGGTTTTTAGGAAAGACAAACGGCAAACCATGTGGAGAAGAGATTGCTATTTCTTCTTTAAGATCAGCATTCAGTTCCCTACAGTACTAGATCCCTAAATGACGCCGGAACACTCCTCTCTCAGGGGCACGCCCAGTTGGCAGGAAGCTGCGTTAACCGGAAGTCAGGGGCAAACAGTTTGCGAAAAGGGTCCTGCAGAAAGCATACTGCGTCAGGGGTGCTTTTGTGTTTTAATGAGCTCAGCCCTCAGGTGGAGGTTTCTGTCAGCCTCAGCGTGTAGAGGAGGACTCTGGGATCACAGGGTTCTCGTCCCAACCACGCTAACCACAAGCTCTCCAGCTTCTAAGAATGTGGGCTGTCATTCATCGTAGGTCGTGTTGGAACAAAACACACACATCCAACCGCATAGTTATTATAGGAAGCGAGAAATCATCTTCCAAAGGTGTTGAGTTTTTGCTGCTGTTGTTCCATCAAACATTCTTAGCTGAATTTTGAGATTTTACTGTGGGGGGGGGAAAACCCAAAACTACAAAATAATACGCACCCATCCCTTGTCTTTAAAAGGTGTGGTATTTGTGCGTTTTTATTTGCTTCAGAAAACAACGAAAACTGCATGCGAGCCTTAGTTCCCTGACGCAGGGTTTGATAGATTTTGCAGGTCACTCGGTGCGTGTGCGTGGGTGTGTGCGTGCATGCGCGCGCGCGCGCGTGTGTGTGTGTGTGTGTGTGTGTGTGTTGATACAGGGTCTCATTCGGCTGTCGTGAAACTCTGCAAATCAGGCTGACTTTGAACTACCTGCCTCTGCCTCCAGAGTGCTGGTTTTGAAGGCATGGAGCCTAGCGGCTATACCCGACTACATAATGGACACCACGGGTGCTTACTGAAGGGAGTGGGGAAGGATGTGATGTTACTGTTATCTAAAAGTATTAATTAATTAATTAATTCTTATTTACTTTCTGAGACACGGTCTCATGCGCAAACTCTACGCGCAGCCAAGGGTGGCCTTGGACTACTGACCAGTGTCCCGAGTGTTGGGATTACAGACCAGAGCCAATATCCTGAGTTTTAGGGAGAAAAAGACTACAGAATCTTCTAGAAGAGGTAGAGCAAACCCTCCAAGCCAAGCAGGGCTTAAGAATCTATGGTGGCATCGATGATCAGCGGTGGAAGATGCTCTGAAGGTGTTTTGTTGGAGAAAGAACTCCTAGCTCCGGGACCCCACCCGGCCTGTGCCCGATACTCACGAGCCCACCACCAGGCTGGCACCCTCCAGCACGGCCAGGCTGCGCAGCGCGGGCCCGGTCAGGAAGCGCTCGCCGCGGGCGCACACCAGCACCACTTGCCGCGCGTTCTCCAGCAGGAGGCGGTGGCCGGTAGCCATGGTCGTCCTAACTGCTAGCCGGGTGCAGAAGACAGGAGTGCCCGGCCAGGGCGGCTCCCTGGAGGGGCGGGGCAGCGCGGGGCGGGAGCTCGTTAGCAGCCTGTTGACAGTGACTGCCAGTGTCAACAAGAAAGGCTCATAGTAATAAACCTTACGGTGGACGCCAGTCCTTTCAGGTCTGCTTTGCAAGTTCTCGGTAAAGGAAGTAAAAATTATATTCACCCTCCAACCCCTAACTTTTGGATCAAAGAACTGAAATTTAGCCACCGGGAGAAATCAAGTTGGACCAGGTTGATGCAGTGGGCCAAGCGAAGTGTAGTCGGTTTGGGCGCTCACAGGGGACGACCGTGGGGGGAAAACTCTGCCCGGCGACCTGGGGTAGAGACTTAGGAGAGGACTCTGCGCAGACGTGTGTGTGTGTGTGTGTGTGTGTGTGTGTGTGTGTGTTAGAGGAAGACAGAGATAACACAGAGACAGAGACACACTGTTATGCGGGAGCGTGGATCCGAACTGCGGTGGGACCGCAGGAGCAGATGAGCGTGAGCGAGCTGTGCCCGCGAGGCGACAGGGGCACGGGGCGGAGGGCTGACGGTGCCCGAGCAGGTCCTGCGTCCGCGCGGCCGTCCAAGCAGGGCTGCGGGTGCCGCGCACTGTTCGGTTGGCCAGCTCGATTCTAGGGTCCTGCTACCAGGCGGTCCCCAAGATGAAGGGGACCTGGGGCAGGGAAGGATGGAGCTGAGACGCAGGGTCTCGGTTTGGCGCCTCTGTCTGCTTTGTCCCTACAGCCTTCGTGAAGCATAGGTCTCAACTGTGATCCAAACCCGTTGAGGTAAAATCAGATTTAAACTGGGTGTCTGCCACATTCACTCCACCCTCACCCACTCCACCTGAGTCTGATAGCCTCTACACATGCTGTGCTCAAGATTGTGGAAAGCATCCTTTTTTTTTAAAATTTATTTCTTATGTATATAGTGTTCTGGGCACCAGATCTCATTATAGATGGGTGTGAGCCATCATGTGGTTGCTGGGAATTGAACTCAGAACCTCTGGAACAGCAATCAGTTCTCCTAACCTCTGAGCCATCTCTCCAGCCCTCCGGTTTGTTTAAGAAAGGCTGGCAGCACTTTTGAATCAGATTTGTTCCGATTTGCTTTTTAAAAATATTTTCTTTTTTTATTATAATTACATTATTTCCCCTTTCCCCTCCCTCTTTCCAAACCACCCTTGTTCCCTTTCAAATTCATGTCCTCTTTTATCTTCTTGTTACATCTATATGGTGTGTGTGTGTATTTCTAAATACATAAATACAACTTGCTTAGTCTGTATAATGTTACTTGTATGTATATATTTTGGGGACTTTTTCCTCTTTCTTTTTTTGAGACAAAGTCTCACACTATGTAACCCTGGCTGTCTGGAGCTTTCTGTGTAAACCAAGATCTTCTAACTCAGAGATCCAACTGTCTCTGGCCACCCATTCCCCCCCATACACACACACACACACACATTCTTTTTTTGAGACAAAGTCTCACACTATGTAACCCTGGCTGTCTGGAGCTTTCTGTGTAAACCAAGATCTTCTAACTCAGAGATCCAACTGTCTCTGGCCACCCATTCCCCCCCCATACACACACATACACGCACACACACACACACACACACACACACACACCAGGGCTGGGATTAAAGGCATATACCACCAGACTTATTTTATTTGGTTTCTATGGTACATTTCAAGCAAAGACATCTGTGCTCAGCAAACACGACAATAGAAAGAAAGGGGAAAAAATGACAGAAAACTATACCATGAAAACAGGCTTATTCTGCGAAACACAAGGGTTGATTTGGGGTTGCCTTAAATCCACTATAAAGCAGTCAGCGAAGTGTCTTTACATTACAAGTCAGCAGTCAATCTCCTTTAGCTCCACCCTTGTCCTATAATAAAAGGGAGATGGGGTAGAAAACACAAAAGGAGGTTAGAAAATAGGGAGACAATGTGATGGAAGACCCAAAGGCTACTCACGACGTAGAAACACAACCACACGCAACTCATGATGAAAAAAAAATTAGAAATTAGCCATCTTTAATCCCAGTACTCAGAAGGCAGAGGTAGGCAGAACTCTGGAGTTTGAGGCCAGCCTGGTCTACATAGTCTGACACTATATAAAAAGAAAGAAAGAGAGAGAGAGAGAGAAAGAGAGAGAGAAAAAGAGAGAGAGAGAAAGAGAGAGCGAGAGAAAGAAAGAGAGAGAGAGAAAGAGAGAGAGAGGAAGAGAGAGAGAGAAAGAAAGGGGGAGAAAAAATAGAAATAATGGAGAGAAACATAGTCACTTATGCATAGGGAATTACTGAATTTTTATATTGTAAAATTTCTGCCAACTTGTTACATTTGGCAGACAAACCACACTGGCAGATATAAGCCATTACAGATACAAAGGAAGGGTTCAAATTGGGGTTCAACAAACGTGTCTTGCTCCTACTTCTGTTATTTCTCGTCTGAGCTGACCTCAGGAAATCTGTTTAAAATTTCCCCCAGGTGCGGTTTTCTTAGCCTTAGGTAGGCACACTTGTTTCTAGCTTGTGGGTTTCCTTGGCCTTCGATAAAATGTAAGTCACTTGGGCCAGCACTCACCTATAAATGAGTTGTGGACATTTTCATTGTCGCTAGTGGATTTTCATGCTGTTTGCCTTGATTGTCAGTGAAGGATTGGACTTCAGGCTATAGTACAGTTTCTCCCCTGGCTTTACAGAATCAACCACGTACTGTGTTTATGGCTTGTGTATTCCTGGGACGCGTTAAAAGAAATCATACATCTTTTCCACGGGTATTTATGTCAAGGGGTCACTTGAATGTATCTGATTAACCATCGAAGGAGGCATCACCTGAGAGGGACTTGCAAACATGGGTTTGCAGACATGGGAAGCTTAAGGATCGAAAAGCTGAGCATTAGAGAGCCCCAGATGCTAAGAGCCCTTACTGTTCTTCTAAAGGAGCCAAGTTCAGTCCCCAGCGCCCTCATCAGTCCGACTGCCACTACACGTAACTCCAGCTCCAGGGGATCTGACACCCTCTACAGACACTGCGCTTTGTACACTACACACACACACATGCACGCACACACACACACGCATGCATGCATGCGTGCGTGCCATTTAAAACTATTTTGAAAGCTCCAAAAGTCTTAGTACTGAGCAGCAACCCCATAACGCTGACTTTCCGAAGTTGCTCTCACATCGCCTGACACACACGGGGACTCCCTTCTACCTGACCCCTGACCCTTAGTTAAGTGTTTCAGTTTGCCAGAGGAGCTATCAGAAACGTCACCAGAAAAGTCCACACACACAGGCACCGTCCTGACGCCAGCAGGGCAAAGGTCAAGCTGACAGGCATTTCCTCATCTTTCTGCCCCAGTTCTGACCTAATTAAAAGAGGCAGCCCGGGAGAGTAGGCCAAGGACCTGTGGGTCCCCGGCCTCTGGGCAAACAGCGAAGTGCTGGCTCAGGTAGAGCCACACCATTCAAGGCCACAGTTCGCAGCTTTTCCTCCTAGTATTTGCCCAAGGTGGGTGGGGAGAAACCTGGAAAGGTATTGGGTCAGGGAGAATCGACCTGATCCTTATATGAATGTGGGGGAGACACACACAGTGTGTGTCTGTGTACGTATATGTGTATATATGCTGATATATACGCTTTAAAATAAAATCTATGTAATATGTATGTTTATCATGCACTAAGGGGATCTGAAAATTCATTTTCACTGGGTTATAGGCATAGAGTTATGAAATCTCAATGCAGGCTTGCTTCCAGCAGTGAGTGTCTGGTAATGAACACTCTGGCTAATTGTATTTAAAATTAGTCTAGAACTCTGTGGTTGGACCTATGAAACTCACTTCCCAAGAGTCTTAAAAGTAGAGAATCTGCACATGGATTTGCACTGCCAGTCCAACCGGGCTTCGGGGACGTCACTCATGGTGTCTCACAAAGGCCTGTCGCCTCGACTCTTCTGAAATGTTGTCAGACAGGGTGCGGCAGAGACAGACCTAGACAATTATCTACATTGGAGGACTCATGAGTCATCAGTTCCCACTCACCTCCCACAAGCGCGTGCTGTATAAGAGCCGTCGTGTAAAAGGGTCTACGCAGAAGGAAGGGACTTGGGCCTAGTTCCAGGCTTAGGTTTAAGAGTCCTTCTGGAGTCAGACCCCACGGCCCCTGGGGCTGTGGTTTCCCCCTGTGCTTTTCCGCTGTCCTTGGGAGGCTGTTCATCCAAGAATAAGAATGTGACTGCACGAGATTGTGTGTTGTGTGGGAGGAGTGACTGGACAAGCCAGCGTGGTGCTCCTTTGAAGACCAGTATATCATGTCTCTGTGCCCCTTGGGTGGCCCGATGGATGCCTTGAATGTACCACACTCCAAACAGAAGCTCTGCCTGCCCAGTTGCCCCTGCCCCAATCTCTGTCTGTTCGTGGCCGCAGCTCTCTGTTTGACACGCTACATCTGTGCCACCAGCGAGGCCACTAGGTGCTTATAAAATATACCTAGAAAGAATTCTTGCACTTCTACTACCTTCCCAAGGGACCCCTCTGACTCCTAAGAGTTCTCTGTGTGAATTCAGCCGAATTTTATGGTTCTTCCTTAGCTCAGCAGTCAGAGTGAGTCACTGACCAATTAATTCCCCATTTCTCGGGGTAAAAAACTTGCCCATGCTTCATAACCTAGAACTTGGCATCTTTGTTTCTCCCTGGCCTCATCGATCCATCATCCCTTTGCTTGCTGTGTCCAAGTACCACGGACCTCCTTACACACACACGCATGCACACACACACATGCATGCACACACACACGCATGCACACACACACGCATGCACGCACGCACACGCATGCACACACACACGCATGCACACACACACACACGCACACACACACACACACCAGATACACCTGTCATCTTCTTAGGACATTCTTCTCCATGTGCACACGTGTACGTGAGCCTTCGTTCGCACTTGGCTACCACGGACTGGAAGCGTTAACTTGTGAACCCCGTAAGGACGCCACTGTTATTGTCCCTTTTCAGTGGTGGGGAGGTTGGTGAGTGTAAGAAGACTCCACGTTCTTCATCGGTGCACCTGTACCACCTCTGAAGGATGATGGCCCCCATCCCACTCCTCGGCTGTAAGTGGCGGGAAGTTCTGAGCTCTTGGTGTTTCTCAGCCTTTAGAGCCATGGTTCTCAACCTTCCCAAGGCCACGACCCCTTAATATACTTCCTCGTGTTGTGGTGATCCCCAACCATACAACTGTTTTCATTGCTACTTCATAACTGTAATTTTGCTGCTGCTATGAATCATGCTTCCCGATGGTCTTAGGTGACCCCTGTGACAGGGTTCCTTGACCCTGTCAAGGGGTCGCGACCCACAGGTTGAGGACCGCTGCATTAGAAGTCGGCTGTGACCTGAAGACATGCATTTCCAAGTTATTAAATGGTACCAAACACACTCTGGCGCATATGGTTTTTTGCTCTCGGGGTTGGTTATTTTCTGGAGTGTAAATTCCTAGAATTGGAATTGCTGGGCACAGGAGTTTGTGTGGTCATGGTTTTAGAAGCCAGGAAAGTTGCTGAGAAGCCACTGGCAGCTGAATTTAGTCACGTCTATGCAATGTACACAGGTTTTGTTTTGCTTTGTTTTTAAAAATTTGTCTTTGCTTTTCAGGTTGGAGGAATGGATCAGTCATTAAAGGATAGGCTCACAACCAAAATGTCGCAATATTTCTTTTGTTTTTAAGTGTGTGTATGTGTGTGTGTATGAGCGCACGCGTGCATGCGTGCCTGTAAATGAAGGTGCCTAAAGAGGCCAGAAAACGACGCTGGAGCCTGCGATGCTGAAGCTACAGGCGGTTGTAAATCGCCCAACGTGGATGCTGAGATCCCAACTCAATTCTTTTGAAAGAGCGGTTCAAGCTCTCAGTGGATGAGTTGTGGGTCCAGCCCCTATAGACAGACCGTTTATGATTTTATTCTGGGTATACATTTTGTGTGGAGTCTATTCGCTTGTGTCTGAAGGGTTTCTAAATGGTGTATTTCGTTTTCTTTGGACAGGACCAGGAGACAAAATGACATCCCAGTTTTTTCAGACATCGAGTACTGGAGGTAAGAATCAAGCAATCAATGTGTTCTCGCTATTTGCCTGGTACTGTTGGGCTCTGTGCTGGCCAGAGTGCAAGGGAGAAAGCTACATGCAGCATAAGAAGAAAAAAAAAAAAGGATTTGTACGTCCTGCTGAGAAGTTTTGGTCAGGGCTAGGGTTACTTGTATTATAAAACCCCTTACTTGTTATGTGTATTTTTTATCTTGAGCTTGGAGTAAGCTGGGTGCAGCTAATGCCTCAGATGCCCAAGTGACAAGCTGTAGATCCAAGGTTCACGTTGCTCTATAGCCTGCAGTAGGATTGGGCAGGAGGCTAAGGGTGGATTCTAGTGAACGTTGCGGGTAAGGTGTTATTCAGGGTGCAGTTTCAATCTCGCCCCCAAAGATCGCCTATCCAGAACGTGAAAATAGGAACATGTTTTCAAAAAGATAAGGAAAATAAACAAAAGAAAATATTGTGGATTTATGGTCGGTCTCAAATGCCGTTTATGGTGGTGCAAGCCTTTAATCCCGGGACTTGGGAGGGAGAGGCAGGCAGGTCTCTATGAATCTGAGATTAGCCTGGTCTATGTGGTGAGTTCTACAATAGCCAGGGGCTGCATTGATAGACTGTCTCAAAAATCAAAACGGTGCCCCCGAAAAATGCAACTAGTAGTCTTATAGGAGACCAGAGGAAGAGTATGTGGGTGGCCTAAACCTAACCTGCCAATTACTTTCCTTTGAGCATTCAAATTAGTATCAGCAGGTCCTTTGGGTATCTGGGATCCGTCCTTGCTCTGTGGTAGGGGACACAGGATGGGCTCAGGCAAGCTCACGGTCTTTGTTTGATCCAGGATACAGCATCAGTGGGAAGGCAAAATATTGTGATAAAGGGGCTCGTGTAACTATAGAGAGCGCTACAAGCCGGAGACTCAGAAAAGCTGGTGGTAGAGCCCAGCCCAGCGTGAAGGCCAGAGCAGGATGCAGCTGCGCTCCACCTTCTCAGAGACCCCTGCGGTCCCATTCCCTATCCCAGCAGATGGGAGACTTAACAAGCCTACTTACTTATTAGATGAGCTAACAAATCCTTCCTTCCCTCCCTCGCCTCCTTCTCCCCCCTCTTTCTCTTCTTTCAGATAGAATAAAAGATGATACAATCAGAAAGGAACGACCCTACAAGATCTTTTTCAAAGATCTCTTCCTTTTCAAAGAAAATGAGGTGGCCGCGAAGAAAAAGGTAAGGTTCCTATTAAGCTCAAGGTCCCACAAAGGTTAGGGTCACGTGCTTTGAGCCATACTTCTTATCAGTTTGTGTGGGTTAAGACACGGTCTTGGGGCTGGGCTGGGTGACACATGTCACTTGAGAGGCAGAGGCAGGCGGATCTCTGTGAGTCCGAGGCCAGCCTGGTCTACAGAGTGGGTTATAGGACAATTAGGACTTAAAAAAGAGATATTGATGTTCCTGGTATGTGGTCATCTGGACCGTTCTGGGAAGACTGGGCATGCAGAGGACAGGGGTAAGCGGGGACCTTCAGAGATCGCCACCTAGTGGGGGAAGGCAGCTACTCCGGTACCGCTAGCATGCCAGGTCTGACAGATACACTTTGCATATTGTTACATTTCTGAAACCGGGACTAGCCTGCACAGATGGCATGTCGTGCATCATGGGCCAGACACAACATAAAAGTGCGTCTCACCACGGGGGACACCTTAGAACTGACAGACAGGTCAGAGCATCAGAGACTGGTAAAGGAGACAGAGCCGTCTGCCCTGTTGATGAGAAAAGAGAGGACAGGAGGGGGAGAAACAGAGAAGTCACTGTGGTCACAGGATTTGAGTCCTTAGGAATGACCCCAAAGGTGTCAAAGCAGTTATGGATAAACAAGTCTATACGTGCTTCTGGGAGAGAAGAGAAGAGAGAAGGGGTGGAGAGGGGAAGAGGATCATTTTTAGAGTGATTTGTAGTGAAGTTTAATCAGCAGTGAGCCTGAGGTTCACGTTTTCTTCCCAAGGGTCACTGGTTAAAGGACCCTCCTAACCCTAAATAAAATGAGTAATATATCTAGAAACACTGCAGTATCTCCATCTGGTCTGGCTTTTCTCCAGGTGTTGGCGAGCCTTTGTTGAGCGTAACATAATATTAAACTGAAAGAACCTGAAGGAAATCCAAGGGGTGGGCTCTCACCACCTCCCGTGGAGCTCCGTCCCCTCTTGTGTTTCCAGTCCCGACAAGCTAACCTCTTGGGATTCCCCTGGAAAGACGTTTTCCTGTCTCTGAGGTAGTTTATTAAAGGCCCCACCTTTCAAACACGGTCTTCCTTGTCTCCACCTAACAAGGAAAGGGATGCGTGCTCACCGCTTCCAGGGCAGCTCCCAGGCTGCCTAAGGCCAAACGTCTTGTTTGTTTGCCTACTATCCCGATCGTAACAACGTAGTGCTTTGCCGTACCAAAGCTCCTTCTGCACTTTTGCGCCCTGGGCAGGAAAGACTCATGAGCCGCAACATGAAAATCCACCAGAAGACGACGTTTTCATCTCGCATGAAGAGCCGCTCGCACCTCAGCCAGCTGACGTTCTACGCGGAAGGAGGCGGCGGCTCCTATGAAGACCTGGGGCTAGACCCCACTCTTATTCTCAGACTGACAGAAGGTAAGCCCACGCTACTCTTCTCTTCGCTTTAAAATGCGTGCGTGCGTCCTCGGTTGGGGAGATTTACTGGTGGCTAGAGACAGCAAGCTATTTCGAGATAAGACCGCCAGAGGGCGCATCACGGACACTCTGTTTGATGGGGAGATATGGATGGAGATAGGGTTCCTCTGTGTGACCCTGGATGTTCTGAAGTTCACTCTGTAGACCAGGCTGGCCTCAGACTCAGAGATCCTCCCCTGCCTCTGCTGGAATTAAAGGCATGTGCCACCACTGACCTGTCGACACAGATATTCTTAAAGCCAAAAAGAAAGTGTTTATTGCTGGCCTGCAGCTGCATGGGGGAACTTGCCCAAAGCAGATGAAAATGTCTCAGTGAGGTTGAGGCACCCCAAATCTCTAAGCAAATGCAGAGTTCGAGTCCAAGCCTGCCCAATTCCATTGGCTACCTCCCAATGGATAGTAGCTAATGACTGTTATAATTAGTACTGCTTTTATGATTGATTGCAACACGAAATGATTCATTTCAAGTGTGTTGTCTGAACAATAGTTATCTGAGCTAATAGTTATCGAGAAACTACTGTGTGTTTTATATTCTGCGGCCCTGTTTCCTTTTCCCAATGCTGCTGTGGGAAAGAGGGTTGTTCTTACAGGGGCCACCCTGTGCTTTCATAACAAATACAAGCCATGTTGAAATTTCAGGGGCTTCCAATCCCAGAGGTTTACTTCTCGGTCGCTTTCCCTTTGGGTCCCTGCCGAAGGAACGGTCGCCGTCTGGAATATCTCAGGGGCTGCAACTAAGGGCTCGTGAAGCTTCTTCTTGGAAGCCACACAGCTCCATGCCTGTTTCATGGCCAGAACACGGAAATGACCATGAGCTGAGGGTAGAAGAACAGTTTTCACACAGACGAGGAAACTGAGGCACAAAGAGAGAGCAGGCTCACTCTTCGCTCCCAGTTAGAGGTGGGAACCAGGGCACCTTTGGAGAGACGTAGCCGCCGCCCCCCCCCCCCAAGGCGGTACAGACCCATTGCCTGTTTAGGCAGTATTTTCTATCTCTGTCGTTAGCGAGAGACTGCATTCTGTACCAGATTCTGTCGGTTTCACACATGTTTAAAATCCCTAACCAGCCCTCCGAACTGTTCGAAGATACACAATAAGTGGTAGCCACTCTTGCGGCAGCTCTGGAGTGCCAGGAAACCCTACTGTCTGGATGCACAGCATATATGATGACTTGGCCAGCTCACGTTCTGTGCAGTATCGCTGAGAGCTAGCCGACTAAACCTATGTCTGTTTCTCTCCAGGCGCGGACAGAAAGAGGACTGTGCACGAGTTTATTAATGACCAGAGAGACAGATTTCTACTGGAGGTATTAAATGTAACATTTTTCTCCCGTTAGCCAGGAGACTTCTTGCATAGCCTTGTCAGATACTTAGCCCGGCGCTGTGTTTTTCCATAACATGTTCTAAATCTATTATTGGCTGAACAGAGTGGCTCGTTCCTACGCTTATTCTCTTGAACAATATTTATTGAGTTTTTATTATGTGCTAGGCATTACCAAACTCCCTCCCATTGGAGAACTTATATTTAAATAATCTATACTAGTAACCCAGGAAATGGATTGTATTTCTAGAGGACATTGGGCCCCATTAGCTCTTTTTCCCTTCAGTCCGAGAATAGCCCCCAGTAGCCCTCAAAAAGCCTATTTGACTTAGAATTTTCTGATATTCGTGTTGACTATGATGGAAACCAGAACATTCTGGAATCGTCCAGCTCTCTCTATACCCACTCAATACCAGAGAGAAATGACTTGTTACAAGGAAAGGAAATATAAAAGTCAGCTGGAAGAGCCCCCACGAGGCAGGGTTTAGAAGCACGAGCAAAGGTGTTTGGTCAACCAGCCCCTCAGCTCTGTGGAGCACACCTGTGGTACCAGCTGCAGCTGTTAACAGTAAACACACAGCCTAGCCAACCAGGGAAGTTCTTGAAGCGTCTTATACAATAACAGAGGGTTTTTATCCCGTCATCAGTAACCTTGAGCTGGAACCCAGGTCACATGACAATAATATTCTTCATTAGTCATATATCCATGTTAATTTAGCACGGATAGAGCAGAGACACTGTGCTCATGACAGTCTGTTTCTGTTGAGGTCTTGAACGCTAATGAGTAAGGGAAAATATATCTGATCTTTCCTAATTTCATAGCACATATTTTGGGATACAGGCCAGAGTTAATGCTTTCCTATGAGACCAGCTGCAGTCAACAGAGCTCACATAAGCTATATCCTACGGCTGTGACGAGAACCCCACGCCTTTGTTTGCTAATATCAGTTCCTGCCTGGGATTTTGTCCTCAGCATGAAACCTTGACGATGGAGCTAATGTAATGGCACTTGGCAGTTTCTCTAGGATTTCAGTGCGGTTATAGTAAATGGGCTTTGTCCACTGCTCTGGCGTTTTTTTCTAAAACCCCCAAGCAGGTTGATAACATGTTCCCCAAGTGATAGAATAAAGTCAACTTATCACTCAAACTGTTGCTGGAAAAAAAAAAAAAAAACTGACCTTGCCCAAGAAATGTCTGGCTCTGGTCCTGTTTTCTAGAAGGCAGAACCAATGTCACATCTCCTAAAGATGTCTTTAAGGCGAAGGTGGCCACGCCTACCAGTCTTAGGATGGCCATGCCAGAAAAACCAACACTGTGGAGGTTTGGGGTCATACCGAGAGGTCTGGGGACTGAAGACAGGTCAGTCAATCAATCATGTCTGTGGAACGAAGCGTCATTGGAAACTCCAGCCAGTGAGGCTCAGTTGATTCCCTGGTTGGCCATAGCCATGTTTATCATTACAGATGCAGGAATGGAATCGGAGGCCGGCTCCGTGGGGGAGGGGGTTCCTGAAGCTTTGTATCTGGAGCGTCTCTAAACCCGTGGTTCCCTTGGGGTCACATGTCGCATATTTACATTACGATTTGCAACGGTAGCAAAACTGCAGTGATGAAGGAGCAGCGGAATAACTCTGTGGGTGGCAGTCACCCCAGCATGAGGAGCTGTTAAAGGGCCTCAGCATTAGGGGGGCTGAGAGCCACTGCTCTAAACCTTACCTCAGGGGGCTCTTCTTCTGGCCCAGGGGTTTTGTGAGATCTCCCAGAAACCTGAGGCTACATGAGGGGCTCAAATTTGCTGTTGGTGTCAGTAGTGAGGGTGGACTTGGGGATGAGTAACTTAATTTCCAAAAACTGAATTGGTCCCATGGCATCTTGCCTTGTTCCTTTCACCCCCTTTTCTCTGCCCCCACCCCTTCCTTTTTTAAAAAATATTTATTTATTATGTACACAATATTCTGTCTGTGTGTATGCCTGCAGGCTAGAAGAGGGCACCAGACCTCATTACAGATGGTTGTGAGCCACCATGTGGTTGCTGGGAATTGAACTCAGGACCTTTGGAAGAGAAGGCAATGCTCTTAACCTCTGAGCCATCTCTCTAATGCCCCCTTCCTTTTTTAAAGGTTTTATTTGTGGCAGACTTAGGGTGTGAGAGCCTCATTTAGAATGTAAGTGCTCCTGTATTGTGACTTTTATACTATGATTTTATGCCGATAATTTGACATGGACAGAATGAATTTCTGCAAAGTTACAAGCTAACAAAGCTTGTCCAAGGAGAACGTAGATAAACAGCTTCATAACATTATAAAAATTGTGCTAGTTGGCAAAAGAAAGAAAAAAACCCCCCACATTCTCGGGCTAAGTGTACCAGACATTTTAAGAGAAAGCCATTCTAATTTTACAGACCCCGTTACATAAAATTGAGTAAGAAGGAGGCACATTCCCAGCACTCGGTATGACAAGAACGGGTGCACAGGATGGCCTAGTGGGTACAGGCACATGGCTCCAAGCCTGGTGACCTGAGCTCAGTATCTGAGACCTGCGTGGAGGAAGGAGCAACTTCTACAAGTTGTCCTCTGACCCCCATGTATCCCTGTCCCATGCACTTAAACTAACCAACTAACCAACTAAATATAATAAATGTTTAAAGAGGAAGGAAGGTAGAAGCAAGCACTCCAAGCAATTTTTAACAAATCCAATAATATGTGAGGATAATCTATTAGGGCTAATTGGGGCTTATCCTAAGCATGTAAAAGCAGCTTAACATTTGAAAATGGCTAAGTACAACACGTAGCAACAGATTAGAAATGAAAAGCCACGTAATCATCTCAACCAATGTGGAAAGAGCATTTGTCTATATCCAAAATGTATCCTTTTCAATAGCATGACTGTTATCCTTTGAGACTTTTTCACAATGGATTTTGATAATGTCACACACACCCCAACTCATTCCAGATCAGCTTTCACCCCTTATTCTTCCACTTTCACGGTCTTTCCTTTTTTTGCTTTAAACCTGTTGAGTCCGATTTGTGTTGCCCAACTTTTGTTGGATGTGGGACCTGGCCTGGATGTGGTTGACTGACCAAGAGTCACACCATTAAAGAAGAATCCCTCTTCCTCTCTCCGGAGGTCGGTCCTCCATGCTGTGGTTTTGCTTTGTTTGCATTTGCGAAGTCTTACGCGATTGCTGGGAGTCCATCGGTGCGCTTTGCCGGTTGTGTCTGGAAAAGACTGTGTTTTTGACATCATCTACACTGCCTGCTCTTCCACAATGATCCTCAGCCTCGGGAGCTCTGTGCAAGGTTGAGAATTCCACAGTCTCTTATTCTCAGCTTGTTGACCAGTTGTGGGTCTCTATGTTTATCACCGTCTATTATAAGAAGTCGCTTCTCTGATGACAGTTGAGAGGTACACTGATCTCTGGGCATAGCAATATGCCATTGGGACTTATGCTGGCTGCTTCCAAGTGAACTTGACACACATGCTAGACTCATCAGAAAGGAGGGAGTCACAGAAAAAAAATTCCTCCATAAAATCTGGCTGTAGGTAAGCCTGTAGGCATTTTCTTAATCAGTGATTGACCTGTGATTGGTGTGGGAGGGCCCAGCCTGTTTTGGGTTGAACCACCCTCAGGCTGGTAGTCCTGGGTTTTATAAGAAAGCAGGCTGAGCTAGCCATGGGAAGCAAGCCAGTAAGCAGCATCCTCCATGGCCTCTGCATCAGCTCCTGCCTCCCGGATTCTGCCCGACTTGAGTTCCCGCTCCTCACTGCTTTTAGTGATGAGCTGTTATGTGGAGGCATAGCTGAAATAAATCCTTTCTCCCCAAGATGCTTTGGGCCATGATATTTCATCACCACAGTAGTAACCCTCACTGTCTTAGTTAGGGTTTTTATTGCTGTGGAGAGACACCATGACCACGGCAACTCTTATAAAAGAAATATTTAATTGAGGGGGCTCTTTTACAGTTTCAGAGGCTCAGTCCATTACGATCATGAAGGGGAGCATGGCGGCGTGCAGGCAGACGTGGTGCTGGAGCTGAGAGTCCTACATCTTGACTCAGAGGCAACAGGAAGTCTACTGACTGTCACACTGAGTGAAGCTCTAGAAAAAGACTCTCAAAGCCCACCCCCACAGTGACACTCTTCCTCCAGTGAGGCCACACCCACTCCAACAAAGCCACACCTCCTAATAGTGCCACTTCCTATGAGATCATGGGGGCCAATTATATTCAAACTATCACACAAAGACAGGAGTTGTTTTAATGCTATATCAACTTAGCAAAATAATAGTAGTAACTTATCCCCTAGGTCCTATCTAGTCACAAGTTCTTGACCCCAACAGCAGGGTTAAATAAGGGTTCTCTACGCAGTGAAATAGACCTTAGGTCCAATCTGAAAGTGTTTGGTTACTCAAATAATATCCATGCCACTATTGCACCAGTAAGCGTATCTTGCCAGGCCAGTCATTATTGTAGCTCCTAGGGTTCATAGCTGGATAAGAGTGGTGGTTGTTTCTCTCCTCCGCTGTCATGCATAGCTCTTTCCAACATTATGAAAGTTATCTAGAAGGGGTGAAACCTCCGGGTCTGTACCAGCTGAATTTCTCCACGTCGGTGTCTTCAGTGTTGCTGTCTGTCTCAGTCAGGTTTCTACTGCTGTGATAAGACATCATGACCACGAGAAAGGAAAGGGTTCCTCTCACCTTACTTGTCCAGGTAACTGTCCATCACTGAGACTGAGGGAAATTAGCTTGGGAACTGGGGCAAGGCAGGAACGGAAGCAGAAGCCTTGGAGGAGTGCTGCTTCCTGACTTGCTCCCTAAGACTTGCTCAGCATGTTCTTTCATACCATCCAGGACCACCTACCAGAGGTGACATCACTTACAGTCAGCTGGGTCTTCCCATGTCAATTATTAATCAAGAAAATGCTTCATAGGCTTGCCCACAAGCCAATCTTAGGGAAGCTTTTTTTTTTTTTTTCAATTGAAATTCTCTCCTCTCTGATAACTCTAGCTTGTCCCAAGTTGACAACAACCTAGCTAACACAGGGTCTTAGTTCTGGAGGGTAACCAAGGACAACGGCAATAGCCCATACTATTTGAGGGGTCAATGAGACCCTAGTGATCAACAACTCAAAAAGAGTAGCACACTCCTGGCGTTGGGCTTTTATTTTCTAACATGGGGTGTCTAGCGGGGGGGGGGGGTATTAACACTTAAGGCCTATGGAGGAAGTCATATTGAAACCTGCCACTGTAGAATCTTCCTATAATATATACATGCATACAAAGGGGAATGGGGATAAGTCCATGTGGCATCAGATCTCATATGCTGCACTAAAAAAAAAGAAAAAAAAAAGGTAGTTGTCAAAATTCACACTTGAGAATCTAAACAGATCTCTCTGGGTTTGGCTGAATAACCCACACCCTCAGGCCAACTTGGAGAAATCCATCATTGCACCCTAAGTTGAAACTTACTTCTCCTGTCACAGGAAAAGATGGGGGGTCTGGGAGCTATAGACAGCCTGGTTTCTTTGGGGCCCCAAATCCTGGGTAACAGATGGACCTACTCTTTGAAAAGCACCTGTGTTTTGGCAGGTAGGGAGCAGCCATTTTAGAAGAACACAAAGTCTCTTCATAAACGCTAGTGAGAAGACTTCACTTCCCTCCTGACTGCCCGCAAAGCAATCTTCCAGCATGAGATAAAGTCCCAGCTCTGTGCACGTCATTATTACTTCTAAAGCAAGTGAACATCTTGCAGCAGGACCCACTCCCTAGCCTTTTCAGAGGTTCTGCTGAAACCTATCGGTAACACGTGACGGAATGTTCTTGACCCGCTCTTGTTTTCGATATTCCTAGTATGCAGTGTCAACCAAGAGAAACACAATTCAAAGGTTTGAAAAGCTCATAGCCATGAAGGAAAATCAACTCAGGAAAGCCGAGAAAAAGCTCCAAGCTGACGCCATAGCCTTTGAAGAGTTCCTCCGTGAAAATGACCAGAGATCTGTAGACGCTCTTAAAATGTTAGTGTCTCCACCCTAGCCGCACCCTCCCCCCCCCACCACAGTCTTTGCTTGCTTGCTTCATTTTTTTCAGAAAAACAAATGAATAACTAATAGATGCGTGTTCCCTTTCAGGGCAGCACAGGAAACAATAAACAAACTCCATATGACAACGGAGCTCAAGAAAGCAAGCATGGAAGTCCAGGCGGTAAAGAGGTAAGAGGGGCCGCTTTTTCCTCAGCCCATTCCCATTGTGACTTCTTGTGCCCGGCAAAGGCCAAGTGGGAATAACCTTACCAACAGGTAACTCAATATGAACAGATTTTTAAAGCGAATGACATGGCTGTCAAGGATTGCACCTGTCTAGATTTCAGAGCATAGCCTCTCTCTGAAAGGCTCTCTCAGTTGTAGATGCAGAAGTAGAGGAGTTAGCTGAAAAGAAGAAAAACAATGTCAGGAGTAAGTGAGCTGTATTTTTCTATGTGCCTCCTGTTTGCTCGTTGTAAGAAACCCTTCACCCCCTTCACCCACATTCAACATCTCAGCTGGGGTGCATTTGACAATCAGCTTGCATTCATCGTTGGCAGTTTTTGTCCTCAAACTCCAGAGCAGAATCTCATGTCACTAATAAATGTAAGCTCTGTACTGAGAAAAATCACAGGAGCAGGGATGGGGCTCATATTCTTATGTGGTCAGTCATCCTTCTTGAACCTTCTGTGTTCAAGGAAACTCAGCTGAATGAGTTTCAATATCTAATATCTAAAAGACTCTTGGGATCACTTGAGACACTAAGTTCATAATCCAAAATATGTGTTTCAAACAGATTCTGGCTCTAGTCGCCTCTTCTACTTAAAAGTCTAAGGTTGAAGGTGCTTCATACTAGGAGACCCCTCCCCACTTCCCCAGGTATGAAATTCTTGGCTACGTCCCCAGCATTTGTTTTTCTTACTTTCCGTGTCTAAATTGTGCCTTGCTATATTGCTCAGGCTGGGCTGGAACTCACTCTGTTGTTCCAGCAAACCTTCAATACCTTGCTTCAGCTTCCCAATCAGCCGGGATTTCAGGGGTACACTACCAGGACCATTTAGATGACCCTATCCATATACATATATTTGTCCATTAATCTATCAATTAATATTAATGTGTGATTATATAACGACATTTTTATATTATATGCAATATATTCATTAATAAATAATATACAGTTGCCCATTACCCTGTCCATCTGGTTTCATGAGGAACCTGAGCAGTGGCCAGGGTGCTCTTATAACTACTAGGCTCTGCATAGTGCCCACTTGGTTACACCTCTAAACAGCCTTGCCAGAGACCTTGCTCAGTGCCTGTGTCTCACCCTTCTAGAAGAGTAAACGAGATGACGGAGCAGACACATGGGTAGAACCAGCCAATGGGAGCCCCTTCCTTTTGATGGTTCAAGAATGGAAAGTCTTTGCAAAGGTTAGAAAGGACTTTCTCTGGATACCTTTCCATCGAAGGCGTGCAATCCCAGCCAACGTTCACCGCACGATCTCTGTGACACTCTGGGAGGTGGAATGAGGGGCTCCCACCAGCTCCCAACTACTGAATATGAGGAATTGCTTGCTCACCCTTAGAGACCACAGATGCAGGGCTGAAGGACGGCTCTGACTGATGAAGGGTTGAGGCTAGGTGTTTGAGACGATGCAGCCGTGAGAAGGGAACTCATGAAGTTCTAAATGAGGACGGTGACTTGGGCCTTGCTGTTCTGTTTTCAACTCTGCGTGTGCGTCTGTTTGAAACAAGACTGGAGTAGAGCAGTACTAAGCTGGGGAAAGCAGAGAGCCCAAGTCTCTAGGTAATGTTGTTGAAAGCATAGGCATCTGTCAGACGCCTGCCATTGCTAGAGGGATACCAGTAATCTATTTCTTTTTCCCTAAGAGGGAAATAACAACATCTGTTGTTTAAAGATTTTCAGATTATTTTTATTTTATGCACTTTGGTGTTTTGCCTTGGGTGTCAGATCCCCTGGAACTGGAGTTCCAGACAGTCATGAACTGCCTTGTGGGGGCTGGAGATTGAACCCAGGTCCTCTGGAAGAGTAGTCAGTGCTCTTAACCACTGAGCCATCTCTCCAGCCCCTAAAGATTTAGTTTTAATTAGGTGTTGAGGTAGTTTGAATATATGTGGCCCCCATAATCACACCGGGGGTGGCACTCTTTGGAGGTGTGTCACTGTGGGGTGGGCTTTGAAGTTTCTTGTGCTTGAGACACCACCCAGTGTGTTAGTTGATTATCTGTAGCCTGCAAGATGTAACAGCAGTCTCAGCTCCGTCACCACCCTCATGCCACCATGATCTCTGCCAGGATGATAACTGACCGAACCTCTAAAACTGTAAATGAGCCCCGCTAATTAAATGTTTTCTTTGTAAGAGTTGCTATGGTCATGGTGTCTCTCCACAGCAGTAAAAACCCAAAGTGAGACAGACGTGTGTTTGCGGATACGTGCACTAGTGCAAGTGTCTGCCGGTGTGGAGACATTGGATCTCCCTGGCAGGTGTGAGCCACCCAACAGAGGCATGAGGGATTAAACTTGGGACCTAACCCACAAGAGCTGTCCGCATTCTTAATCTACGCTCCATCGCTCTAGTTCCAAGAACACTGTACTGACTGGTCTCGTGTTTCAGCTTGACACAAGCTGGAGTCATCAGAGGAAGGAGCCTCAGCTGAGAAAAATGCCTCTGTAACATCAGGTGTAAGGCGTGTTCTCAATTAGTGACCAACGGGGAGGGCCCAACCCGTGGTAGGTGGTCCCATCCCTGGGCCATTGGTCCTGGGTTGTGTGAAAGAGCAGACGGAGCAAGCCAGGAAAAACAGACCAGTAAGCAGCTCCTCTACGTGGCCTCTGCACGGGTTCCTGCCTCCAGGCTCCAGCCCTGCTTGAGTTCCCGTTCCTCCGGTGATGGACTGTGATCTAGAAGTGTAAGTCAAATAAACCCTTTTCTCCTCAACTTACTTTTTGGTTACGGTGTTTTGTCACAGCAGTAGAAACTCTAAGACTAATTTGTACCAGCGTAGAGGGGTATTGCTGCGACAGACCTGACCATGGTTTTGTTGTTGTTGTTGTTTTGGTTTGGGGTTTTTGTTTTTGAAGATTTGGAAAAGACTTTGGAATTTAGGATTAGAAAAGTCGTTGAGTGTTAAGGCCTCAGTGGGGTGTTCCGTGGGAGCTGGAAAGAGAAGAACCCTGAGAGCAGGTGCAGACAACGGAGGCCTGGCCTGTGAAATTTCAGAGGGAAGTTTAAAGCCGTTACTGGGACCATTGCTGCTGGTAGGCTGGAGCTAAGAAATTAGCAGTGATCTTCTTAATAAGAAATTAAGAAGAGATATCAGCACCGGTGAGGTGAAATCCTCCGGGAAGTGTTTCCTTGGGAGCAGAGAGGAGCTGTTTCAGAGGCAGTCGTGATTGTACCCTGTGCTGGCAGCAGGATTTGATAATGTGTCCATGTCACCCAGGTGGCGCTTGTTTGGAAGGCACGAAGGGTTCACGAGAGCAGCTGAGACAGGGCACCGGGAGAGGCCGGGAAAGGCCATTGTTGAAGGCCCAGGACTGAAGGGGTCGTGCAAAGAAGTTGAGGCTTAGCACCATGAAGAGAGCCTTCGAGAGGCTATTGGTGAATGTCCAGGCCAGGATGTGCGGTGGGACGATCACCACGAACGTTAGCAGCTCTGGAGTGGAGCCAGCCAGAGCCTAGAAGACACGCTGCGCACGCAGCAGAGGGCGGGGCCGGAGAAATGACCCAAGCCCTTTGGAGGAGTCTAGAATATCGGGAGTGAATCCCAGATAACTAAATATTGAGTTATTTATACCGTCGGAGTTTGGTTTTTGCTTGGTTCAGATTGTGACGTTGCCCTGGTTCTTCCCTCTTGAAGAAGGTATTTGATTTACTTTTGGTTTGTAAAGAAGCCCACTGGTTAAAGACTCGAACTTTTAAGAGATTGGGTATTGAAGTAGAATGGTATGGTACTGCCGGGAGCAGACGCATCTCGCTGTCATGAAAAGCCTTATGCTACTAAAACATCTTAAATCCCATATTCAAGGAAGTTTTCTACAGGATATTTTAAAGAGACTGAAATTTTAATGTGGTTAAATTTGTAAAGATTGTGGGGGCTTTTAAAGCTATTTATGATTTTAATATGAGATCTTGGGCGGTGGTGGCACACGCCTTTAATCCCAGCACTCGGGAGGCAGAGGCAGGCAGATCTCTGTGAGTTCGAGACCAGCCTGGTCTACAAGAGCTAGTTCCAGGACAGGCTCCAAAACCATAGAGAAACCCTGTCTCGAAAAACCA